CCCCCCCCCTAGCCCCCCGGTTCCGACGCCTATGAGCCAGACAGACAGATAGACGGACTATAAAGACAAAATGTGATCAGAAAAGCTCACTTGGGCTTTCAGCTTATGCAGATGAACTAAAAAGCATGGAATTAATAATTATTTCACAGGTCTTTAATGAAGTTAGACTTATTTTACTACTGGTGGTAGTGTTAACATAATTATATACTCGTTGAATGAAATTTTCAAATGTTTTTGCCTATCATAAGGATAAATCCTAGAAGCATTCATCAAATGATATAAGAAAAGCGAAATTTAAAGAATGCCAGTGATGTGAACCCGCCCAAGATGAATAACTCTAGATAATCACACTGGTTAGATATCTTCCTTAATGAAATAACTGGAAAATACACTTTGAACTCTTGAGTTTTTAAAAGACAATATAAAGATTAAAAATACTCCAATTCAGTCCAAAGTGAGTCAATAAGATATTAACTACATTCTACTCTTACATGCATATACTACCCTGAAGTGCTTAAGTCAATAAAATGAATTCTAACGTTTCCCTTTCAAACAGATCATTGAAATCAAATTAATTAATGTACAACAATATATTTTTTAAGAAGCTAAATTGTTTAGGAAAAAAGCAATTTGGACTTACGTCTCTCCTCTCTCACACAAGATGCTTTATTATGCTGTCAGTGAAACAAATTTACAAAGATCGTTTCCCAGTGTTATTTATATTTTTAAAAGACCAACAGACGAAGCAAATGTAATTTCCAGACAGACTACGTATAAAATATACAGCAATTTTCAAATCCCAAGGGTAAACTCGTATTGCGCTTTGAATATTAACCTTGGAGTATATACATGTGCATGATGCACTATGGAATGAAAGGCTGTACACTAAGAACGATAACTCTAACCCACCGCTGCATCACTTAGCAACCTTGACTGCTTTCCATATACAAGTATATACTGCCTATATTTGGTAAAAGTTGACCGATAAAAATATATGTTAATTAATATTTCCTTTTTCGGAATTTAATATTAACTGTAAAAAAAAAAATCGGTGTAATAAACATTACTTAAATTTTGTTAACGTTGGAAAAGGTTTTTTTCCCCCAAACAAATTGATGAACCCCGTTATCAACTTCTATTTCATTATCAAATCCTTGTTATTTACTCATTGCACCGTTGCAATCCCCAGGTTAAATAATTGAAATGTAAAAAAGCCCCTAAGATTAAATTGTTTTAAAGTTTATCACTCCGTTAGGTATTTCAGGTCACCATTTAATGTGCTTTGTTTCTTAGGGGTTATCATCTTGCATGTTAGAAATGTCTTTTAACTGAGATTCCCACCCAGTGCAGTCGAAATTTAGATATCTGCAGATGTACATGTTGAACATTTCTTTACCTATATAAACATTAATAAATGAAAACGACAATTAAAAAAATCCTTGCATTGATTGTTATATACTGATTTTTTCATAAATACACGTAAAAAGTTTGATGATTTCCGATTTTTCAACTAAAATTTTAATTTGAAAGTTTACCCTTAAGATATTGTATATTTCGTTTTAACAGTTAAATCTAAGGACAGAATACTCTTAATGTATTAAAATAAAGGTTACTGGTAAGAACAGCATATAAGGGGTTCGATCTTATTATTATTTTTTTTTTTTTTTTTGTTACAGGAGGGGTTTTATGCCCCAATAATTGAGGGGGGGGGGGACGTTACCAAAGTATTTGATTTCTTAACCTTGACTTTGGAGTCTTTACCACATTTTTTAATCATGGCCATAACTTTTGGTGGTAAAATTTTCATACCTCTCATGTGTTTTTCTTGTAACAAGACTTTTCTTGACCTTGACCACCAATTTGGACAAGTTTTATTTTCAATTGCTCGAGTTACGATTTTTACATTAAATATGTGTATTTTTTGTAACAGGACCTTTCTTTCGATATCAACAAATTAGACCCATTGACCTTGGAGTTTGAAAATATTAATCTTGACCATATTACTTCAGCACGGTAAGAGTTTGGTTTACATATTTTACAGGTGTATTTTCTGTAACAAGAAATTCACACAAATAATTTTTACAGATTGACCTTTTTTTGAAAAACTTGTTACCCTGGCTATACTTTTTTCACGGTTGATGCTAGCAAGAGTTTTCAAAATTCACAGGTATGTTCTTTATGAAAAGACCTTTCTAAGGATACCGAATCTTTGACCACTTAACCTTGACCTTGAATTTGACTTCCGTTTGAGGGTATAACCTTTGCCATTAGTTGCAGTACGGGGACAACATAACCACGTATTATTCTTAAGAACTGCATGTTGCTTGATTTTGTTGAAAAGTTTGGCCACACAAGAGAACAGGAGAAAGTTATCTCTGTTATTAAAATGAAGGCAAATGCCTCAAAAGAATTGTTGGCATCAATTAATTAAACTTGATTCAGAAATAATTACGTCATAAAACGATCACAGGTTCCCCTAAATTTGTAACCCCCATTGATTCGTTGATCGTCACCGGATGAAATATATGTATTTGATATAGGTTTCCTAAACATGGGGGCGGGTCCTCGCTCATTCATAAAACCGCTGTGACTCACATTTCGGCGGACACACAGGTATTGTGTATTAGCCGACATGTCATTGTCTAATTACAGGATCTAAGAATACACCTTGATAACCCAAAAATTCCACTAGGTCGATTTACCTTGAACACGATGTCTTACTGTAAGCTAAATATTTTGTATGCGTTCTCAAATATTTTGAAGTGCAACTCACTTTATATTAAATGAACCTCAATGAACTTGAAGTATAGAATAAGGTTTTTGCATATACACCTGTATTATCTTTCGTGAGCGTTTTTTCTTTCCCCTCCCTCTAACGCGCGCTGCGAGAGAGAGAGAAAGAGAGAGAGGGAGAATTTATTTTTGCCTAGCTTCAGAAAATATTAATTATGGTTACACGAAATATTTGCAACTGAATATGTAATCGCAAAAAGATCTGCAAATATCTATAACCAAAAAAATAAGAGATTTCACTGGACACCATTTTTACATAAATTCTACAGAAATCTATTTGATTTTTAAAATTTTGGAATAAAAAATTAGATTTCTGTACAAAGCATTTTACTGCATTGTAGAGGAAAATAAAACAATTACCTTTGATCAGCAGAAAACGGTTTATGTCGCTATGAGCTTAAACTGTAGTTTGTAGCGATCCAACGTGCAGTTTGTCAAAGTCAAATTAAAATCGCCGGTAATGAGATGACTTTAATAAGTTTTTCATTACAGGTGCGCTATTAACAACGATCCATGCGCATGCTTTCTATATACTGGGCTCTCTGTTGGATTTTCCATGCGATTTCACTTATAGGTACGGTGTCTTATTCATCCTCGAGCAGGTCAATATTTTGCAAAGGACTTTAAAAAAGGATACATTCAACACAAAATAATATGTAATCTGTCTATGTAATCTAAAGCAAACATTTAAAGGATATATACCCTGCCTGGGTCTTTATGATTATGCGCGAGTGTCCCAAAAATTTGCCTGACCCAAGGGAGAAAGATTGTTAAAATGGAACTTGTAGATTTCTTCAGCCGGAGGACTAAGTGAAAAGGTCATAGGTCAGACATCGTACTGTGGACAGATACGATAAATTAAAGTGTGATTTTATGGATGTTGGTCATAAAGAAATATTTTGAATGTAGCGAAGATTGCTTTGTTAAGCTTCACTGCGTAGAGATACAAGATTAATACAGAGCAGATAATTTATCACGTGTCCATATAACAAACTCTCCATAAACTAAAATATGATGAAAAAAAGGTTAATTTAAATCTTTTTATTAACCAAGACATCAGTTTCGAACATTTTGACCCCCCCCCCCTTCCCCCAAAAAAATGTTTCAATAGAACAAAGAAAAAATATCTTGTCCTTTCATTCAATAAATTGCTATGCAGAAAGGGTTTTTTTTTTCTTTTTATATCTCCCGCTTGAAAAGCGGAGGGTATATGGTAATCGGGATGTCCGTCCGTCTATCCGTCTGTTACGCTTTGGGGTACCCATCTCTTATTCGCAACTCCTCTCATACCACTGAATAAAATTTGATGAGACTTTCACAGAATCTTTATTACATGCATGTATTGCCAGTGTGACCTCCTATTTACTTTTTGATCCGACACATATTTGTTTCCAATATCAAAACATGGACTCTACCATTATATTCATATGGGAGCCGGGGGGGGGGTGTATCAGTTAGTGAGCTCATTGCTCACAGTACCTCTAGTTTATTAATAGTTTAATTAATTTTGAAGATGGAGAGGATACAGTAAATTTAAGCTCTTGTGTGTGGGGGGATGGGGGTGTAAGTATGTGCGTAACGGAAGTAAACAAGTAATAATGTATCTCACGACCGATATGGTCTTTTCCGAGGAAATGTTTTGATTTTTGGTATCCTTATGTTCAGTATTTCACAGTATACACGAACGTACCTAAAGAACTAAAGAAGGCGTTATTATACCGGTATGTCGTCCAGTATATAAAACCATACCCTGTAACATACAATGAGATTATTGATCCGCCCCTGAATTTGAAACACCGCCAATTAAGTCAGTCACATTTTTTTGTAAATCAAATACCAGTATCTTATCTGCATATGTATGAATAGGCTTTTCCCCCTAATATTCAGCAGGGTTCCTCTGTGTTACTTCTAGATTCACTTCCATAAATTGATAATTAAATTAGACCTCGATTCAATCTCTACATTAATTATTGTACAAGAAAAATTAAAGGGACAAAGTATTTATTTACTAGTATGAGTTTGAACTTTAGCGAGTGATCCGATATTAAAAAAAACAATTAACCATTTGTTAATTTACTATTCACAAAGTACTGTACAAGTAGATGCTTAATATTTCTACGCCGCAATTTCACCAAATACAACATTCTATTCATTTGCACACGGATAAAAAAATTTAAGAAAAAAAAAGTAACTTTCCCTGTATATTATAAGTAAACAAGTTTCATCTCGGCGGTAAACAAGGGGACTGTGCAGATTCGTAAGAGATATCGATAGAGGTAAAACATAAAATAATATTTAGATTTTAGAATTAAATTTCAGTTGAGTTTTTAGAATGTTTTTATTATTTTATGAAATAGCGTCATTTTTATTTAGAAAACGTAAAATATTTTTTTTCTTCTAATTCTAGATAGTCTTTTGTAGAAATGTCTGACCAAGGAGAGATCAAATGCTGTGAAAGTAAGTGTCCATCTATTTATAACCCATGAAATTAAATCCAAAATAGCAATATTATTTCTTATGTTCGGGTAACTCTTTTTGTAAATTATATATATTTTAGAGTTATCTCTCTTAGTACACATCATTTCGAAAAATATACCAAACCTTACCTACCCTTTTTAAGTTTAAAATCTCCAAAAATATTAACTTGGATGGAGACGCTATTCATTGGTTAACATGTCAATTAAAAGAGGAAATAATTTTAAAAGCAACGAAGACCAAAATTCATCAAACAAATAACGATTACCCTCATCTAAAGTACATATTCCATTTTCTAATTTGAGTTGCAAGAACATGTACCATTTATCATAAAAGTTCAATGTCTATTTCTCTGTTCATGTACTATAACAATGCTTACCAAAAAACTCTCTTGTTTAATTTTAGAAGAGAAACCTGCGGGTGGATCCTGTAGGTGCGGGCCTGGTTGTAATTGTACAGAACCGGGCGGAATCTGTAAATGTGGCAACTGTAAGCGTCCCACCAAAGCCTGCTGTGCTGGTAAGAATCCTAATACGGAGTCACACGGGGGTTTATTTGTTTCAACTTCTATTGAAAACAATTCAAATGAAAAAAAGTTCACTTTGAGAATTTTTATTGATCGTTGAAAAAAAAGGTCCCATATTCTTGGAATATTCAACTTCTGCATGTACATAAAAAAGTACGAAACTTGTTCATTATACAAATTCACATTTTGTTTATATGCATTTTACATAGTAGTATTAAATCACATATCTGTGTCTCGAAACCAGTGATAGTTCGAAGTGGTTTGGCAGTTTATTTCAATCACATTTTCACATAATATATTATATTGGAGCTCGGTATCTCCTATATCCTCGAAAACCTCAAAATCGAAGCATCAAAAGGTTTGATTGTAAATGTATGTTCTGTAGAAAAGGCAAATACTAAAATAAGATGCAATTAAAAGTTACAATGTAAATCTTTTAGGTACAAAGGATTGTTGTCAGAACACTGAGACTGGCAAATGTGAAAAAGCCGACTGCAGTAGCTGCAAAAAGTGACGTCATGGGGGAGTTAAGAAGTAGGAAGGTCAAGACTTTTTTCTGCAAAAAAAAAAGTTAAAAAAAAAAATAATAAAAATAACCTATGGGTGCCAATTCAACGGATGATCGCGACATTGGTTTTTGTGTGTATATTTTCTAAAAAAAAATATTAGTATAAAAGTCAATATTAATATTGTTATTAATTCTGTGATCTATCAAACAATATACCTCCTTTTTGTCAAGTTGAACGTGTTCGATATGATTTTCTTGAATAAATTTCTTAAAACCTTTTCTGTGCTTCAGTTTTATGTCAACTAAGTTATGGAGATGCGGTGTTTTAAATTTTGAATTTACTGCCATCTGGTATATATTCAAAATTTACACCATATATGACTGAGACTTCACGAAAACTAAATTAATTTCATTTATCAAACAAACATCAAAACCAAAGAGCAAGAATCCTGGGAAGAGTTTGTTCTGCCACTGAACATACACATAGAGGAATTTTCTAAAGGTTTGAGTGGACACTTTTAGCAGAGAAATTATTGTATACGCTGTACATGTATAAGGGAAACAAAAATTGGTAACTTGTAGAAATTTAATTGACATTTTAGCGAAATAACTGTTGGTGAGCAGGGGGTAAGACTTTGTGTGGCCAACAGAAATAGTGTGTGTATGAATACATGTATTTGACAACTCGTCCGCTAAATTATAATATCAGTATGATACAACGTGGAAAAAAGTCTCTAGTATCCCACTCAGTGGTAAAACGTTTACTTTTCATGACCGCTTTAATTTAACTTTAAAAATACCTGTCATTTTAGTAAAGATTATATATATATGAACCAAATTTATAGGTACAGTGCTAGTATATAACAAAAAATTGACAATAACATTGTATAGTTTTGTAATCATGCTAAAAATGACAAGCACTTTGTGGTTTTTCACTCGGTTGTCGACAGTTTAATAATAAAATGATAATATGTGTAATGGGTTACTCATTTTCTTTAAAGTATACATTTGTCAAGTATATGTGTTTATAATTTCTCGTGTTACATAAGTTTTCGATACCACGTGGTAATATACAAGCATATAATATTAAATTCTAAAAACAAAATCTCAAATCCAGAATTGACTTTCAGTAAAATAAGAAATCAACAAAAACATACATGAATATGATAATCTGTTCACACTTCAAATACAGTTTGTCAAAATTATTATTATTTGTGGTGAAGTTAGAATGTACACATTGAGGATTTTCCATGCAGTTGTTAAGGCTTTATTTTTTCATTACCTCGATGAAATAAAAACTCATGAATAAGGTTTTAAAAATTATATTTTGCTTACTTTGCCTTGAAATCTGAGGCAGATGCAAATTCTAACATCCAATACTCCTATAAATATTATATCCTGGTATATAGAAAGGTGATGTGTCGGATTTAAAGGTGATTTTTTAATGAGCAGGAATGTGTAGATGAAGGATGGTAGTAAGAGATAAAAAAATAAAGAAAATTATATTAAGATTATAGTAATTTAAGGAATCACTGTCTAGTTAGTGTAGTATGCCAGGGCATCAGCGATAGTGGGAAACATGGGATAATTTATCCCATGTTTCCCGCTGTCGTTGATGTCCCTGGCATACTATACTAAGTAAGACAGTGATTCCTTGTATTTCCATTTCATTGTGAAATAAAATTGTAAAAGAAAAATCTAAATCTACAATTTCATTTCACAATGAAATGGAAATACATGTATAAGGAATCACTGTCTAGTTCGTATAGTATGCCAGGGACATCAACGATAGTGGGAAACATGGGATAATTTATGCAAATTATCCCATGTTTCCCACTATCGTTGATACCCTGGCATACTATATGAACTAGACAGTGATTCCTTAAATCATAGAAGTGGAGTGCATCCTAAAAGTAGGGTCCTGTCCACAAACACCTGTGGTATACAGGCCCAAAGATGCCAAATTACGACAACCTCGCCTCTGTTATCCGTGTTTCAAATCAATTTTTCAGTTAGTATCGAATCAAGCGCCCTCTACACTGTTGCTGACTATAAAATTTGCGGATCAAAATTATTTCAGTTTAGAAGTAAATTATCTACATTAAAAATCTACCCATCTTCACAATTTTAATGGTTCAAAACACAAGCTTATTCCGGAAATATCTGTGCCCCGCTGAAGGAAAAAAAAAAGAAAGAAAGAAGGACGCTCAGATTGCGGGTTGAGTCCGCCCTCCCTCCCTTCCCCGGATTTGCAGAAATATTAAATTATGTACTGAAGATTACCCCCCCCCCCCTGAATTTGTAGAAATATGTATATTAAAGCAAATAAAAATACCAGTATGGATATAAAGATTTAAGGATAAATAACACAAACAAACTTTTTTCAGAAATCAGCATTATTTCTCATAAATTTACATTTAAATTGACAACCTGAATAATGTTTACCAAGTAGAGTGAGAGAATTTTATAAGATTTTGTCATCAAGTTAAAAAATTGTGCAAAATTTTGTATCGAATTATATAGAAGGCAAAATTAAATCTCAAATCTAAGCACCAAGGAAAACCTACGATTTCTTTATATTTCAGGGATTTATTATTTATGTCATTACAAATCAAAATCAGTCAAAAAATATATATCAACCCGCACATCCATTTTTTGTTTGTGGTAAGTACCCTTAATTGCTTATTCTTTATTATGTGTATAGAATATTTGTTTTTATGTTGAATACTTATCACACTGTTATGGGTTTGTACAATGAGACGTAATAACTTTTTTTTTCATTTCAGAATACTATCATAGTTAATGCAAACCTTATGTCACATATAATGTTTACATTCATTTTCGATATTGTCGAAATTTTACACAATACATGGTGTCTAATTTAGCCTTTACTAAACAATTCTATGTAATAAGAATATAAAGTCCACCGACAACCTAAATGATACTTACTAAATCTCTAACTTAACTAAAGTTGGTATAACTTGTGTCCAATCCCATTGATTGTGTTCAATAAAATACAATGTATGTTTAAATCAAATACCTCTCCACATGCCCCTGTGCTAAAAACAGTGCCAAGCGACTTTTAATACAATAAATAATAATTTTAAAAACAGGGCGGGACACTTTGAGGGGATGAGAGAGGCCCTAGGGAGTTACGGTATTAAATTTCATTACAAGTCCACGGAGGGGGGGGGGGGTCCGACACCCCCCCCCCCCCGAACTGTGCATACTTTTCTTTTTTCCCTAAGCTGGGGAAACAAATTCTCTGCATTAGGCTTGCTGCGTCACTTAGCCCTATAGTGTATAAAACATATGAAACTGTAACTTATTTAAATTTACATTGCTTGGTTTAACTCAAAATACGTAATTTTATGTTTTGACTCCCCGGAACAGACTACGTATGTAGTGTGCACACGGCACCGCCTTTTTTTTTTACCGGCCCATATCCTGTTAATTCGTGGAACCTCATTTATTTGGCGCCAAACACGCGTGGTGTGAACAGTTTAGCTTTGACGCAGTAAGGTATGTCCTCTTTTTAATCTAAGGATTTGATAACTCTGATAATTGTTATTTAAAATATTGATGTGCAACTAGAATATATTCTAGAAAAAAATTAGCATAATTAATTTAATTGAACGCCAATTTTAAATTACACAAATCTAGCTACCTTTTACAACATTTTGTAGAGATAGAATGCATGTTAATGAAAATTTAATTTCCTTTCAACAGGTAACCACAAAAATGTCTGATCCCTGCAATTGCTTAGAAAGTAAGTAATGATTTGCGCATTTTATTAAACAACGCAGTTTCTATCTGTATCATGAAAATTATTAGAGTTATCGATCTTTGACTATTTACAGCTGGAAAATGTGAGTGCGGGGAAACCTGTCCACGTAGCGGATGTAAATGTGGATCCGGATGTAAGTGTGGACCCGGGTGCAAGTGCACCGGATGTCAAGTGAAATGCAGCTGCACCGGTAAGTTTGAATGGAATGATTTGATTGACTGTTTAATTTTAAATATATGACATATGGTTAAAAATGAGTTAAAAGCATACGAATTTCCAATTTTTGTATATATAAAATAAGCTAAGGATTTAACTTGTAAAGTAACATTTATAATGCAGGATTAGTAAAAGAAACAAGAAAATAATAAAAATGCTTTATCTTTTTTAGCGGGTAATTGCGCCTGTGGACAAGGCTGCACCGCACCTGAATCTTGCAAATGCGCAAATGACTGTTGCTGCAAAAAGTGACTAAACAGTACAACGGTGATCCGAGAATTTGTTAAGTTTCACAAACAAAGAACACATTAAACTGTTTTTCTTGTTACATCTGTCTTTTCGTTTCCAAGTAAACAGAGGTAATTGTATTTAATTTCATTGCAATGAAACTGCAGGTTTTGACTATGTACAGTCTGGAGCTAGAAACACGTATATATGCAGCAATTGCAGCTTCTCGGACCTTTCCGACCAGCGGAAAAACAACCTCCAATGCATATGTAAATTGACAACACCGAATGTTTTAAAATATTTAAATTTTCTGTTTATTTAACTACATGTATAGAATAGACGGAGTTAAAAGTTCCTTCTGTTGTGTATTTTTGATCAAGTTTAACTCCATATTTCACAGAAATGAGGTCTTCCAACATTTATTTTAAAGTTTGTGAAAAGGGGGGGGGGGGGGTCATGGCGTTTACGTAATTCATACGAGGTTGTTTTTTCGACCTTAAATATCCTAGATGATGCGATTGATGTATGAAGATGTAAACAACATTAAAATTACTTTAAATTATGTCTAGTTTGCATTGAAAGACACTGAAACTGTTTACTGTTTTGCAGAAGTGACTGCATTAAATTGATCAACCTTGTATTACCTTCGAGAGAATGAGCATCAGTGTAATATTACAATTCTCTGTTATCCTTGGACTTTCAGTAAGGCGTGGTATATTCTCAACATTACATAATTAATTAACGTCTGAAATTTACACAGCAGCCTCTCATTTACTTTTGAATTATACTTGGGATAGAAATTCGGGCGAATATCAGCGAGTGTAACAAGGATCCAATCATAACGTACATGTATTTTTAAGCACAAATTAAAAAAAAAGAAAAACATGCAAAATCCCAAACTACAGACTTATTGTGTTCTCAGTTTTTGGTCTTGAAGCCTGATCACCTAAAATTAATTGATTTTATAATCCAGGCTTAAATTATTTTTCTGAAATATCAATCTCCCAGTAGTGAAAAGGGGACAAGGTACATACAAAAAGTTAGATGAATTTTGGATATGCTATTATACTGAAAATGAAGTGTTTAAGTTTTCGCTTATGATAATTTAGATTTATCTAAATATTTCATTTGAAATTGAATTAATTGTAAATAAATGCAATCTCAATCAGTGCGCCCTTGGTTTTATATATTATCATTTCAATAACAGCGTAGTGTGTTAAAAGTTTTACATGTTGATTCAATTATATTCCATATGCAAAATGCATTCATTTTTTGATGAAATTCAAACATCAATCGAAAATTCTTTCAGATCTAAGATGTGAAATTCTATGAAATAATACATGTATATACGGCACTGAAATTAACTGTAGTTTGTGTTATTATCGATTTGTCATTCACGCATCTTAAATATAAGAATATATTTAATTATATTATCCTTGCTGCCATCACAATTTTTTCCAAGGATTAAAAAAAAGACAATTTTTTTTTTACCGTACGGTGACCTGAGGAGGGGGAGTGGTCGAAGTAACAGTGGTGTTATTTACCTGGAGACCCCCAATACCCAAGATGTCAAAAATCTGTGTATACGTAGCATTACACAGGAAGTCTGTGTTTGGTAATCAGGGTCAACATTATGAGTTTCGTGTCTAATTTTGAGTGAAACTATATTTAATTATTTCAATATAAAATTTATTTGTAAACTAAACGCATTCATCGTAATCTTTTGAAGGACAAATTGAAAATGAAATATGCCCTTGAGGTTGAGTCAGAATTCGGTAATATTTAACCAACAGCCTAAGCCCCCTTTTTCCGCACTTCTGTTTGTTTGAATTTCATTGTCAATACATCAAATTCCTTTGATATCAGTGGCGGATCCAGGAATTTCGTAACGGGGGCGCAGTAGAAGGCATGGGGGTTCTGGTGGCTTAGCCCCAGTGGGTCTAAGGCAAGGTCCTTTTTGGGGGTCCGGGGCTGACACGTTCTTACATATAAAGGATGTCTTTTCCTTGATTTTAAAATAATGGACATATAAATTAAGTTTTACATACAAAAACTTCAAACGGGGGGGGGGGGGGGCACGCCCGGCGCGTCGGCCCTGGATCCGCCTTTGCTTTGGATATATACTGTGTATATATTTAGACACAAAATAACTTTAATATTAATTTTGATTTACTGGGCCGAGCAAAATGCATGAAACCTGCAGAACACCACGATAACAAATAGATAAAAGTAATACTCTCAAAACATTTTTGTATGCACAAATAATTTTAAAATTTAGAAAAAAAGAAATCTTTAAAAGAGCGAAATGCAAATCGTGACAAGGCCATTGATCTTGTACACTGTAATCATGCATCTACACATAACTTTTCTGAACGTGAGAGTCAGCTGTGGATTATGGTTTGTGTTCTATACAAGAACCTGCATAAAACAACAAAATTACGTCCGTGCGGTGAATGTATAACATAATATAACAGTCGATAAAGCTTAAATAATTTGTCACAACTGAAAATGATCATGTAAAATGCAGTTAAATGCAGTGATAAGAATTTCCGTTGTCGGTATTATACTAATCTCAGTCATTATGACGCAGGGATGATAAAGTTTTAGAATGATACATGTAGGAAATATTTCAAAGCGATCCGCGTTACGAAGGATAGATTTGTTTTGAATTGATAAAAAGCTGGCAAAATATGCATACCCTTCATCCCAACCAAGGTAGTTTTACAGACCAAAAAAGGATAGGTAGTGAAATGTATGTGACCGAATAAAAGTTTCGTAATTAACCTACATGTACCAAGTCATGGTCTTCTTAATTTACAAATATAGAATTCTGCTTATTTTACAATCATTACGTGTGAGGATCCACGCCAACTCCTCCTCCAAGACAAATAAACTACCTCCTTCCAGCGGGTGGGAGTTCCGACACCCCCGCCCTCCCCCCGCCACTCCACCCCAATCCCTACCCCACTCCCACGGATCCGCGCACTTATAGTTGGAGAGAGAGAGAGAGTTTTCAAACACATTTTGTACATTCTGTATACATGTATATTTTTTATTTATCTCGTGACAAGTACACAAGTATTTTAAATCGACTAATTAAAGTCCAACAGACTATTTGCGTAAAGTGCATTTATATGGACCTCTGCCAAAAACGTAGAGATGATCACATGAAAAGTGATTTGACAAAATTATAACAATAAAATTAATAATGAAACAATTTCAGCTGATTTTATACTTAGATAAATGTTTATGATACACTTGTATATATGTATTTTAAGTCCATTTTTTTCTGTTCTAATTGCACTGATAACTTAGATGTAAGCTATGAATTTTTATAAGTTTTATGCTAAATTAATTATACTGTCTATAGATACACATTCCTTATCAACTTTGTATAGACTCTATACATTTTGCACACGATACTGTGTATACAACCTATTGATTATTTGCACACGAAACTGAATATTTGAATAACGTGTGCATATACATATACGTATTTAATTTATATTCTTTATTCAACGGGCGTGATCCTTATAAGTACTCCTTTCAACAAAGGAATATACAATAGGTAAGATATATTTTACTAATTTACCATGTAAAGGGTTTATCATTTTAACGATGTTGAATGTAAATTAAAACATGAAAAAAATTAATAATTATTCCATGATCGATGTTACAGTATGATACTTGCTTAAAACATCATTTTCTCCTTTTCAGACAACACATTATAAAAAAGAAAAAAAATGTCTGACCCCTGCAACTGCTCAGAAAGTAAGTTATATGAATTTCCTTGTACCAAATACCAATGATTTGGCCATTTGAAAGTTTCGAGTTGTCGCTCTTCATACGTCGATTTACATATAATTATAGTATGCTCATTTTCTCCGTTTCTAGCCGGGAAATGTCTGTGCGCAGATTCCTGTCCCTCAAGTGGTTGTAAATGCGGACCCACCTGTAAATGTGGCCCCAGCTGTAAATGTCCCGGATGTCAAGTCAAATGCAATTGCAGCGGTAAGTCGTTTGCCCAAAGATATGCATTTAAATGTCAGAAAGAAAATTTGTCATTTAAAATACCTTATATTCATTAAAAAAAAAACAACAAAAACAAAAACAAAAACATTGTATCTACATCAGACTCAAGTTCAATGTACTTGTATGAGGAGGCACGCTGTGCCCAATTTTTTTTTAACGGCACAAAACAAAAAAAATTCATCTCAACCTTTTAAAAGAACATTTGAAAACAAGACTTTTTCTTAATGATATTTATCATTACACTTTCAAAATTTTAAAACTCAAAGGTTTTACTTTTGGAGGTCTTTTTTTTTTTTACTGATTACTTACATATATTTTGACTTCATTTATTCATAATTTATTTCCCTTTTATATTCTTTATTATCTTTTAAAAGTTAATTAGGACTTATTCATCAATTACATAAAACTGTTTTGTGAAATTTGCAGGAACCTGTGGTTGTGGAAAGGGCTGCACGGGACCTGAAAGTTGTAAATGTACCGACAGTAGCTGTGTCTGCAAAAAATGACTCCATGGTCACGTGACTGATTCTCATTGTAAAGAACAAAATAAATTCAGAATGTGCCATAAATGGTGTGTTTGTTTGTCTTAAATTGACATGCAGTTCTAAAAATAAAGACTTCCTTCTCTAATTATATAAATGATTTTTAAAAAATAACAAAAAATAATTAAATGTGTGAACCAGGGACGTAGCACCGTTTTTGAAAGGGGGCAGTCAGAGAAAAAAACTTGACGAGTAAAAATGAAAAAAACAAACAAACGAAAAAAAATTTCGTAGGGGGAGGGGGTCCAATTTATTTCGAAACATTTTTTTTCACAATTTTCCTGTTACTTTCCCACTTCCTCATATTTAAAAAAAATAATAGTGCAATAAAAAGTGATGGGGGGGGGGGGCAGTATTCCAAGCATCATTTACTAAGTACAAAATTATTTCTGGAAAAAAGGGGACAGCCCTCCCCCCCTTGATGCTACGTGCCGGTGAAAACTTACATGTAGCAGGTGTGTGGTGAAAATTTGACACTATGGGTCAGGTGTAAAAACCATTTCTATGTAAGTGAAAATATTAAATATATCTAATAAAAATATCCGGATCCATGGTCCATATATCAAAAAGTTCATGAGAAAGACGGGAAACTGATTGATTCCAAGAGAGAGAGAGAGAGAGAGAGAGAGAGAGAGAGTCCATTAAGATCAGTTTTGGCGAAATATACTATGAAGAAAAGGAAGCTCAGAATTGTGTCAATAATTACAGGTACCGATACATACTTTTGAAGATGTCTCTTACCCTTTATATGAGTTATTAAATTTTAATCGATATTTTTACCATGCAGGCTTAAAAATAAAATGATCATGCAACTATCATTCATAAATAATAATTCTTTTCATTTAAATGTATTGATGTCTGAACCACTTATTTTTCTCATGCAAGAAGAAATGTAGCATTATATCTATTTACTTTCATTTTCAGTCATGTAGATACCAATACATGTATGTTATACATACAAGTATTTCACACTGACATATACATGTATGTAAATGGATCTCAAATATTTCAGAAAATATGCAGACCTGATTTCTTATTTACACGTTCGAGCGAAACCTCAAAGTTGATTAAAAAGCGTGTCAATGTACATGTATGTAATTGCCACATTTTAACTTCTTTTGTATTTTGTTATATAGTAAAGAAGACGGGGAAACAAGGCGTGCAGAATGCCTATAGCTTCAGATATTAAGAAATCATATTCACTTTGTGAATTAACTTTAAGTATTTAAATTAAAGTTCGCATTATTGAAATGTATGAAATTATGAGAAACAAAACTTTTCCGAGAAAAAAAATCTGGGGAAAATTATTCTTTTATTTATACATGTATAAGATAGTATTCGTGGGATTCGAACTCTAGCAATAAAAATCCAGGGTATCAAATTGCTGTGAGAGTTACGCGTTAACCACTAGGCTACACAGCTCATGAGGTACTGGTACATTTAAATCACGTTTGTGATATGACCCTTTACTTAATGGACTTGAAGTATTTCTCGGAACGATGCAAAAATGTTTTGTCATAAAAGTGTCAATTGAAGGTATAGTGGGTCCTTGCTACATATTTTTGTAAAACATAAAATGTATATTTTATTGCAAACTTCTAGGATTATCATTTTAAAAAAAATGGAGAGAAGACCCACTTATAAATATACAAAAAAAAAATAATAAAAATAAATAATAGCGATAATTGTATTTTAAGAAATATACCGGGTATACCAAGATGTGTTAGATGTGTGTGAATCAAACACTTCTCCTTGTTGGTTGTCACATATTAAAGAACTTGTTGATACATTAAGCTTTGGTTATACATGGAACTGTAGAAATTATCTAAATGAAAAACTTTTTTGTTTGTTTGAGGTGAAACAAAGATTGGACGACATGTTCATGTGAACATAAGAAGCACGAAGTTATTTTGAAGGTTCTCCGAAGTGCATTTTGTATAAGTATTTAAGTGATAGTTTTAATTTACAATTATATTTAAAAAGATCAATATCACAAAATGTGCACAACATATCAGTCAGCATCGTCTGTCTTCTCACCAGCTAAAAATAGAACGAGGAAGATTTTTTTAATATTCCTAGAATAGAAAGATTATGTAAATTTTGTTCAATGTCACAGGTTGAAGACGACAAATTCTGGTTTGTCCATTTTTTCCCCGATGTTAGAAAAGAGTATATTAAGAAATATTATCACCAAAAACCCTCTACCTTTAAACTTGTTCAATTGTTGTCGACAAAAAATGTAATGTTATGTAAACTGGGGAATTATCTTTATAAATGTACAAGATATTGAGAGCAGAAGTTAATTGACATTGATATAACGAATTTATCCTCACTACTACTATTAACAAATTTATATTATTGTGCTTCTTAAAAAGAAAAAAAAATATTTTGTGAGTTTTCAGATGTTTTATCTAACATTCTTTATATTTTTCTCATGAATTACCAGTTGGAATTTACACGGTGAATAAAAATAGAAATAAGCTAGGTCACCCTGGTACAATGTATGCGTAAATTAAAGATTGTATAAACATGTTCATATACACGTATATAGTGTCGTGTGCAAAGTGACTATACAATTCCACTGTATATCGGTATCTCTTGCTAAACATGAATCACACCATTTTCTAACCCTAGCTGCTTTATTAAAATCCAATACATTTTGCACACGATACTCGGTATACATCTTATGATGGTTTGCACACGATACTACATACGTAATGTGTAAAATGTGATTATGCATTGTATATACTTTATTCAATCAGCGTTTTACAAAGAGAACCGCTTTTCTTTGCAAGACTATCAGAGCATTGGACGATTTTAAAGAATTTTAAAGAAGGTATGATTGTCCATTGTACGTTAAATAAGATTTTTTAAAAGTATATTATAGCCAATATTAATTTGACAAAATTAGATTATTCTAATTTTTCAGAAAAAAAAAAATACTGTTAGATCTAATTGAATTTATTTACTTTTTGCCCCTAGAGAACACGAAGAAAAATGTCTGATCCATGCAACTGTCTAGCAAGTATGTATGGTTCAAGATCATTAGAGTTATCGTTCCTTGAATATGGTTCAAGATCACTTTAGTTGTTGTTCCTTATTTGTATGAAACAATATTTACACGAAAAATTCATTTCAGCGGGAAAATGTCTGTGTGTAGACTCCTGCCCATCAAGTGGGTGTAATTGTGGGATCGGATGTAAATGTGGACCCAGCTGTAAATGTCCCGGATGTAAACTCAAATGCAGCTGCAACGGTAAGTCGTTATATAATTTGTGATAATTCTCCTGGACAAAAGCGAATATATACTAACTGTAAAATAACACATGCACTTATTTCATACACCACGGAGGATATAATATATTTTTCTTGTTCTCCTCAGAGACCTTATTGTATTCCAATTTGGAGAGGAATGATATTCCAAACTCTCTCAAACAAAACATATCTAGCCGATTATTGCTTTTTTACTTTAATTTTGTGTAATATTTTGATTGATTTTTTTTCACATAACATTAAAATTCCAGAAATAGTTCGGAGAGGGGGTGTGGCTTCTGTGTCTCCCCGCTGATTAAATTGCGTTACATATATTAATTTGACTTTTAAATTTTTCTTTTACACTTTGATATATCTGATGCATGTTTCTGCATGACTGTCGGTTACTTACGATGTATGTATACACTGTACATCAGTTAGATATTTTATTTGTTAAATTTACAGGAACCTGTGGTTGTGGAAAGGGCTGCATCGGACCTCAGTCCTGTAAATGTACTGACAGTAGCTGTGTCTGCAAAAAATGACTGCCTGGCCACGTGACAGAATTCCATTGTAAAGAACAAAATGAACGCATAATCTATACTTTTATTTTAATAAATTTTGCAAATCCAAAACGGCTGTATCAGTGTTCTTACTCACTCCTCTAGAAATACACTAGGTTTAAGGTGATGTCCGTAAACTATATTCAGATTTCAGTCGCATAGTAATTGTCGTGAATTTAATTAAAAGTCTAATTTCATTTTTGGTTAACAACCTCGAAATAACACAAAAGAAAGTACGGTGGTGCTTCCGTGGTTAGCGGATCTATGTTACTGGGATAGAAGTAATTGTAAGGTATTCGATAATACAATGAGTTTGATTGTATGATTAAAAAAATGAAATGTTCATTGTACATTTTTTTTTTTGAGATATGAAATACGATTTAAATGTGCGGTAAAAGAATAATTTCTGACGAAATAAACTAAACTAAAGTTGGTATAACTTGTGTCCAATCCCCCTGATTGTGTTCAATAAAATATGTTTAAATCAAATAACTCTCCACATGCCCTTGTGCTAAAAGTTTTTCAAAGTGTCAAGTTTTCACCAAAGTTTTTCAAAGTGTCAAAGTTTTCGCCAAAGTTTTTCAAAGTGTCAAATTTTTCGATATAGTTTTTTGCAAAAAGTTTTTGAAAAACTTTTTTAAAGTGTCAAAGTTTTTGAAAAACTTTTTGAAAAAGTCAAAGTTTTCGATAAACTTTTTCAAAGTGTTAAAGTATCCAAGTATTCGATAAAGTTTTTCAAAGTGTCAAAGTTTTTGATTAAGTTTTCAAAGTATCCAAGTTTCTCCAAGTGACAAAGTTTTCGATAAAGTTTTTCCAGTGTCAAAGTTTTCGATAAAGTTTTTCAAAGTGTCAAAGTTTTCAATTTAAACTTTTTCAAAGTGTTAAAGATCCAAGTTTTTAATAAAGCTTTTCAAAGTGTCAAAGACTTTGATAAAATTTTTCAAAGTGTTAAAGTTTTCACCAAAGTTTTTCAAAGTGTCAAAACCTTCAATAAAATTTTCAAAGTATCAAAGTTTTCGCCAAAGTTTTTCAAATGTCAAAGTTTTCGCCAGTTTTCAAAGTGTCAAAGTTTTCGTCAAAGTTTTTCATGTCAAAGTTTTCGCCAAAGTTTTTCAAAGTGTCAAAGTTTTCGTTTTTTCAAAGTGTCAAAGTTTAAAAGTTTTTCGCATGTCAAAGTTTTTGAAAAACTTTTTTAAAGTGTCAAAGTTTTTGAAAAACTTTTTGAAAAAGTCAAAGTTTTCGATAAACTTTTTCAAAGTGTTAAAGTATCCAAGTATTCGATAAAGTTTTTCAAAGTGTCAAAGTTTTTGATTAAGTTTTCAAAGTATCCAAGTTTCTCCAAGTGACAAAGTTTTCGATAAAGTTTTTCCAAGTGTCAAAGTTTTCGATAAAGTTTTTCAAAGTGTCAAAGTTTTCAATAAACTTTTTCAAAGTGTTAAAGTATCCAAGTTTTTAGATAAAGCTTTTCAAAGTTTCAAAGTCTTTGATAAAATTTTTCAAAGTGTCAAAGTTTTCACCAAAGTTTTTCAAAGTGTCAAAGCCTTCAATAAAATTTTCAAAGTATCAAAGTTTTCGCCAAAGTTTTTCAAAGTGTCAAATTTTTCGATATAGTTTTTTGCAGTGTCAAAGTTTTTGAAAAACTTTTTTAAAGTGTCAAAGTTTTTGAAAAACTTTTTGAAAAAGTCAAAGTTTTCGATAAACTTTTTCAAAGTGTTAAAGTATCCAAGTACTGAAAAAGTTTTTCAAAGTGTCAAAGTTTTTGATTAATTCAAAGTATTTTCTCCATGACAAAGTTTTCGATAAAGTTTTTCCAAGTGTCAAAGTTTTCGATAAAGTTTTTCAAAGTGTCAAAGTTTTCAATAAACTTTTTCAAAGTGTTAAAGTATCCAAGTTTTTAGATAAAGCTTTTCAAAGTGTCAAAGACTTTGATAAAATTTTTCAAAGTGTTAAAGTTTTCACCAAAGTTTTTCAAAGTGTCAAAACCTTCAATAAAATTTTCAAAGTATCAAAGTTTTCGCCAAAGTTTTTCAAAGTGTCAAAGTTTTCGCCAAAGTTTTTATAATGTAATATTTTCGTCAAAGTTTTTCAAAGTGTCAAAGTTTTCGCCAAAGTTTTTCAAAGTGTCAAAGTTTTCGCCAAAGTTTTTCAAAGTGTCAAAGTTTTCGCCAAAGTTTTTCGCAGTGTCAAAGTTTTTGAAAAACTTTTTTAAAGTGTCAAAGTTTTTGAAAAACTTTTTCAAAAAGTCAAAGTTTTCGATAAACTTTTTCAAAGTGTTAAAGTATCCAAGTAATTTTTATTTGATAAAGTTTTTCAAAGTGTCAAAGTTTTTGATTAAGTTTTTCAAAGTATCAAGTTTCTCCAAGTGACAAAGATTTCGATAAAGTTTTTCCAAGTGTCAAAGTTTTCGATATAGTTTTTCAAAGTGTCAAAGTTTTCAATAAACTTTTTCAAAGTGTTAATAGTATCCAAGTTTTTAGATAAAGCTTTTCAAAGTTTCAAAGTCTTTGATAAAATTTTTCAAAGTGTCAAAGTTTTCGCCAAAGTTTTTCAAAGTGTCAAAGCCTTCAATAAAATTTTCAAAGTATCAAAGTTTTCACCAAAGTTTTTCAAAGTGTCAAAGTTTTCGCCAAAGTTTTTCAAAGTGTCAAAGTTTTCGTCAAAGTTTTTCAAAGTGTCAAAGTTTTTGCCAAAGTTTTTCAAAGTGTCAAAGTTTTTGCCAAAGTTTTTCAAAATGTCAAAGTTTTCGCCAAAGTTTTTCAAAGTGTCAAAGTTTTCGTCAAAGTTTTTCAAAGTGTCAAAGTTATCACTATAGTAAATGAAAGTTTTCAAAGTGTCAAAGTTATCTTTATAGTTAGCAATAGTAAACTATAGTTAACTATAGTTAACTATAGTATTTTTTTGTTAGGGGTATTCGGTAATACAATAAGTTTGATTGTATGATTAAAAAAATGAAATGTTCATTCTACATTCTTTTTGAGATATGAAATACGATTTTGGGGTAAAAAAAATGTGGGGTAAAAGAATAATTTCTGACGAAAGAAACTAAACTAAAGTTGGTATAACTTGTGTTCAATCCCATTGATTGTGTTCAATTAAATATGTTTAAATCAAATAACTCTCCACATGCCCTTGTGCTAAAAACAGTGCCAAGCGACCTTTAATACAATAAATAATAATTTTGAAAACTGGGCGGGACACCTTGAGGAGGTCTTCCAACCTTTATTTCAAAGTTTGTGAAAAGGAGGGTTATCATGGCGTCTACGTAATACATATGAGGTTGTTTTTTCGACTTCTGACTGAAAGACCCTAGATGATGCGATTGACACGTACGTATAAAGTTGTAAAACAATATTAAAGTTACTTTCAAATACGTCTAGTTTGCATTTAAATGCACTGAAACTGTTTACTGTTTTGCGGAAGTGACCTGCATTGATCAATCTATTTTCTTCGAGATAATGAGCATTGGTGTAATATCACAATTCTCTGTTATCAATTTACACAGCCTCTCATTCACTGTTGAATTATACTTGGGACAGAATCGGGCGAATGTAGTGTAGAGTGTAGCAAGGATCCAGTCACAACGTTTCGTACTGCAAAGAGGCGGGGCCTAAGTCATCTCATTGAAAGTCCAAGGAAGACAGAGAATTGTACTATTTTGGACACAAAAGGGGGGCCTGGCCCCCTCTAAATCGGCCTGTGTTCATTTTGAAAAACTCGTACATGTAAATCATAATTTTTCAGTGCCTAAAGGTCAGCCCCTATAAGACCATACTGAGAACAAACTTTTAAGTCAAATTCTGTCTATAATCGATAAAAACTTTTGAACCTTTTATGATAATGAAACAATATTTTCATCATTCGTTTTTTTAATTACATGTATAATAAAATCGTACGTTTTTTTAAAGCGCAAATTAAAAAAAAAAAACCATGCAAAATCAAACTAAATTTAGACTTATTTTGTTCTCAGTTTCTTGTCTTGAAGCCTGATCACCTTAAGCTAATTCTTATTTATTTAATAATCCAGACTAAAATTGTTTTTCTGAAATCTTCTTTTAAATAAATCTCCCAGAAGTGAAAAGGGGACAAGGTACATGCAATGAAGTTAGATGAATTTCGGATATGCTATACATGTACATTGTTTACGTTTTTGCTAATGATATATATAAATAGATCATTACTTGATTAAATTACAAGTGTAACTGTACATAAATGCAATCTTGCCCTCCACGGTTTATATCATTTCAATGACAGCGTTCACTTTTAAATGGAGCGTGTTGAAGTTTTACTTGTTGATCACAATTATATTTCTTATTGATTGGATGTTTGATTTTAATGCTACTTTCCATAAGAACAGGCAACAAATGAATGGCTTTGACTGACCACGTGTTGTTAGCAAAGGCCGTCATTGTAAACATTCTTTCAGTGCGATTGGTCAGTTTTATTAAATTAATGTATTGCTGGTTTCTCTATTTCATATGCAAAATAGCATTCATTTCATTGAAATCAGACATCCAATCGACGCTTGATCTAACAACTGAAAGTGACACGCTGTTATTGGAATGATAGTAGATGGTGATGAATATGTTTCTAATATTCTATGAAATATACGGCACTGAAATTAATTGTAATTTACAATTGATAGTCATTCATGCATCCAAACAATGAATGTATTTATATTATCCTTGCTGCCATCAAAAATTTTTCCAAGGATTATAGACTCATTTTTTGTACCGTACAGTTACCTGAGGAGGGGGAGTGGTCTAGGTAACAGTGGTGTTATTTACCTGGAGACTCCCAATACTCAAGATGTCAAAAATCTTTATACATGCACGTAGCATTGCACAGTAGCATTACACATTTATTTATAAACTAAACGCATTCATCGTAATCTTTTAAAAGGAAAATATGCCCTTGAGGCTGAGTCAAAAATGAAGTCATATCTAACCAACAGCCCAAGCCCCCCCCCCCCCCTTTCCGCTCGAATTCTGTTTGAATTTCATTGTCAATGCATCAAATTCCTTATATATATATATAATATATTTGAACACAGCAAATTGCATGAAATCTGCAGAACACCATATCAAGTAAAAGTAATACTCTCAAAACATTTTTGTATGCACAAATAATTTTAAAATTTAGAAATAGAAAAATGTTTAAAAGAGGAAAATGCAAATCGGGACAAGGCCAGTGATTTTGTACACTGTACATGCATCTACAAATAATTTTTCTGAACGTGAGAGTCAGCTGTGGATTATATGGTTTGTGTACTACAGGAACCTGCATACAACAAAGAAAACTACGTTCGTGCGGTGAATGTATAACAATATAACAGTCGATAAAGCTTAAATAATTTGTCACAACTGAAAATGATCGTGTAAAATGCAGTTAATGCAGTGATAAGAATTTCCGTTGTCGGATTACTAATCTCAGTCATTTTGAAGCAGGGATGATTATTTTTTTAGAATGATACTAAATACAGTCTAGTATTTTAAAACGATTCGCACAGTAAGTTACGGTGGATAAATTTGTTTTGAATAGATGAGGAGCTGGCAAATATATGCATAACCTTCATCCCAACAAAGGTATAATATAGTTTTAATTAAGACAAAAAGTATATATTTGAACGAATAAAGTTTCGTATCTTATCATACAGGAAAGTCATGGTCTTCTTGATTCACAAATATAGGATTCTGCTAAACTTACATGTACAATGATTACACGCGAGGATCCACACCAACCCCCAACCCCCCAAAAAAGACAAATAGACTACCTCCTCCCAGTATCCCTACCCTACTCCCACGGATCCGCGCACTAGAGAAGGAGAGAGAGAGTTTTAAACAAATTTTATACATTCTTCTATACATGTACGGCTATTTATAAAGTGTATATATTTTTTACTTATCTTGTGACACAGAATTATTTTTAATCTACGAAATAAAGTTCAACTGACTCATTGCATAAAGTGCATTTATGGACACCTGCCAAAAACGTCGAGATGATCACATGAAATGCGATTTGACAAAATTATAACAATAAAATTTATGAAACAATTTCAGCTGATTTTATACTTAGATAAATGTTGAAAATACACTTGTATGTGTGAAGTCCATTATTTTTGTTCTAATTGCACTGATAACTCAGATGTTATCCATGAATTTTTAAAGTTTTATGCTAAATTAATTATACTGTCTATAGATACACATCCCTTATCAACTTTGTATAGACTCTATACATTTTGCACACGATACTGTGTATACAACCTATTGATTATTTGCACACGAAACTGAATATTTGAATAACGTGTGCATATACATGTATTACGTATTTAATTTATATTCTTTATTCAACGGGCGTGATACTTAAAAGTATTCCTTTTAAGAAAGGATTATACAATAGGTAAGTATTGTATAATTAATTACCATTTGAAGGGTTTAGTAAACTATTTTTACGATGTTAAATGTAAATTAAAAAATGAAGACAAAATTAATATTTATTTCATGATCGATGTTTCAGTATACATGATACTTGCTTAAAACATCCCTTTCTCTTTTTCAGACAACACAATATAAAACAGAAAAAAAAATGTCTGACCCCTGTAACTGCTTAGAGAGTAAGTTGTATGAATTTCCTTGAATTCAAGTGCATGAACCAAAAACTACGGAAGCCCAATATTGCAAACCAAAAATATAAAAAGAAAATGAAAGGAATGGCTTAGTGTTAAATTTATGCAATATTACGCTAGGTTAATTTAATGTCGAAAAAAATTCATGTCTACAGGACACGCGTGCTTTATGGAATGGTTCATGGGTTCAGGCCCTTACCATGCCCATCTATAAATTCCGTATTTTAGTTTCAGTTTCTTTATTTAATAATTTCGTTTTTCTTTACCAGTATTTAATAATTTCGTTTTTATTTAAATAAAAATTTCCTTGCCTTTTCTAGTATTTAATAATTTCGTTTTTCTTTAAATAATAATTTCGTTTTCTTCATTTAATAATTTCATTTTCTTTATTTAATCATTTTGTTTTACTTTAAAAAATTCGTTTTCTTTCTGTAATAATTCCGGTTTTTTTTTTTTTATTTATTTTTGGTTTGCACTATTGGACTTCAGTACGTAAAATACCGATGATTTCATTGATTTGGCCATGTGAAAAATGTCGAGTTGTCGCTCTTCATACGTCGATTTACATAATGTAAATATGTACATAAATGATCCTATTTTCCGTTTCTAGCTGGAAAATGTCTGTGCGCAGACTCCTGCCCATCAAGTGGATGTAAATGTGGAACCACCTGTAAATGTGGGCCCAGCTGCAAATGTCCCGGATGTCAAGTCAAATGCAACTGCAGCGGTTAGTCGTTTCCCCAAAGATAAAAGAGAAAATTTTCCATTAATTTTAACTGTGCCTATTTTTTGAAAACGGTTCAAACAAAAATTATCACCTCACCTTTTTGAAAGCATATTTGAAACAAGACTTGTATTTTTCCTTTCTTAATGATACTAATCAGTACAATTCCAAAATCACTTATGTTTTGGAGTCGTTTTTTTTCCACTGATTACTACATGTACATGTATGTTGGCTTCATACAACAGTCATCCATACTTTATTTCCCTTTTATATTCTTTATTTATCGTTTAAAATTCTAATACTTAGGACACATTATACATAAAAATTGTTTTGTAAAATTTGCAATTTTGAAATTTGCAGGATCCTGCGGTTGTGGAAAGGGCTGTACCGGACCTGAAAGTTGTAAATGTACCGACAGTAGCTGTGTCTGCAAAAAATGACTCCAGGGTCACGTGACAGAATTCCATTGTAAAGAACAAAATAAATATATATTGTGCCATAAATGGGGTGTTTGTTTGTTTTATTGACAAGCAGCTCTTTAAATAATGACTCCTATCTCTATTTATATATAGATTATGCAGACAGTACCATAGGCGCTTGGTTTCAGGATGGTGTCAAAATAAGAATTAAAAATCACTGAAATTAGCACTTTTTAAAAATTTCATATTACTGTATATAAAAACTCTTTATATACAGTAATATGATATTTAGATTTTTAAAACCTGCTAATTTCAGTGATTTTTGTTTTTTATTTTTATGAGGGTATTTAGAAAAACCTAGAAAAACACTTAATATACGCAAAATACACCATCCAAGCGCCTATTGACAGTACATCATAATTTGTTTGTGGAAATTATTGAAAAGTAGTCTAAGATTACATTTCAATGGCTAACGAGTGTAAAGCAGTGTGATAATCGTAAACTAGTTTACGAAATTGACGAGGAAGGTCAAGCATTTAAATACCTGCTAAATGAAGATGAATACATTTCAACAGAGGTAACAGGCTGAATTAATAAAAAAAACTAGTGGGTATTGTTTTTTTAAAACAAAAAACACGTCTCCCCTTCTTTACCAACATCTACAAATGCAGTTTTACTATCAAGGTAAAAAAAAATAATGCAGTGCATCTTTCAAGTCTTTAAAAGGATCTAAAGTAATGGTCTTAATTTAACCTTGAATGAAGAAAGTGGTCAAGGTCAAATAATTTGATGTAGTATATTTAGGCTTAATGTTGTCTTTACTTGTTCCAAGTTTAAAATCCTAATGTCAAGAAAGGTCTCAAGTTATGACCTAGGATATATTTCATATGAGCATTTGACCTTGACCTAATAATAACTGGATCAGGGTCAATTTTTTTTATCACATACGAAATATTGATATGAGTTTATAGCCTATGATATAATCTTAAGGACACTGGTAAAAGTCATAGAAGAAATATTATTTTTTCCGGAGACGACCATTTGATTCAAGAAGGGGGGGGGTTATCAAACATTGTCGAGTCAGATCATGCCATATATTAATTTTTAGGATGAAAAGAGCTTTTTTTTTAGTTTTGTCTTCTCTGAAAAATGTTTGGACCTTTTTTTATTTCCAAGATCGTTAACCCCCCCAACGCACACATACATAAATTATACCAAACAGAAATCAAATATTTGTCCCTTCATATATTACGCTGGACAGAAAATTCTGATTTGTACATTATTTTCAAACTATACCCGAAATTAAAATTATTTGTCTTTTGGGTCAATCAGTAATAATGTGCCTTCTAGCGTAGCTGCGGTGGATTGAAAATGAATTTCAAACTAAAAACCATTAAATGTTTTGATTGTAAAAGATAGAAATGACATAAGCTGCATATTTCCAATCTTGCAATTTAATGTTCCGCGGTCTTAATACTGAAATTCAGACCTACTAAAATTAAAAAAGATCTTTCTTAAATAATATAATATAATTATACACATGAAAACTTTTTCAAGCGAGAAAATGCTTGTGCGCAGATTCCTGTTCACCAAGTGGCTGTAAATGTGGGGAGGGGGGGTTAAATGTGGACCCAGCTGTACATAATACACCACATAATGATAAAAGCATATCACATAATGACAAAAGCACATCATATAATGACAAAAGCACATCACATAATGAAAAAAAGCACATCACATAATGAAAAAAAGCACATCATACAATGATAAAAGCACATCACATAATGACAAAAGCACATCATAAAATGCTAAATGCTCATCACATAATGAAAAAGCACATCATATAATGATAAAAACACATCATATTTTGATAAAAGCACATTATATAGTGACAAACGCACATCACAAAAAAGATAAAAGCACATCACATTCGGATAAAAGCACATCACAAAAAGGTAAATGCACATCAAGAATTTAATTTTTGTCATAAGACAGTCCAGGCGTTCCATACTGCTACATTAAAATTCAATATATTTTGCACACGATACTCGGTATACATCTTATGATGGTTTGCACACGAAACCAAATACGTAATGTATAAAATGTGATTATGCATTGTATATATACTTTATTCAATCTGCGTTTTAACAAAGAGACCCACTTTCCTGTGCAAGACAATCTCAGTATTGGGCGATTTTAAAGAAGGTAAATTTGTCTATTGTTTGTTAAAGAACCTTACTAAATACATAATGGCCAATATTAATTTGACATAATTAAATTTTACTTATTTTTCAGAGAAAACAAATAAATACAATTAAAATCTAATCAATTTTTTTTTTAGAGAACAGGAAGAAAAAAATGTCTGATCCATGCAACTGTCTAGCAAGTATGTACTTTTATTTACCTTGAAAATGGTTCAATGTCATTAGAGTTATCCTTCCTTATTTGTATGAAATATATTATTCACGAAAATTTTTTTCAGCGGGAAAATGTTTGTGCGCAGACTCGTGTCCATCAAGTGGGTGTAAATGTGGGGGCGGATGTAAATGTGGATCCAGCTGTAAATGTCCCGGATGTCAAGTCAAATGCAACTGCAACGGTAAGTCTCTTTTTTTTTTAATTTCTAATGAGCAAAATTTATTTTCTACATACTCAAAAAATAACTTAATACATGTATGCAGTTATTTCTTGCACTGTACAGATCAACAGAATTTTTCTTGTTCCCAAAAGAGAGGGCAAAATGTGTTCACATTAGGGAGGGTGGTATTCCAAAATTCACACAAATACTAGTACATGTAGAATATTTGTAGACCATTATTGCTTTTTCCGTTAATTTTGTGTAATATCTTGATTGATTTTTTCCCCCCAGTATATAACATAAAAATCCCAGAAATAAGTCAGGGAAGAGGTGTGGCGTCTTTGTCTCTACACTGATGGCGTTACATGCATTTATTTGACTATTCAATATATTTCTGTATACACTTTTATATATCTGTTGCATATATCTGCAAGACTGTCAGTTACTTACGATGTATATATATATATATTTTATTTGTAAAATTTGCAGGAACCTGTGGTTGTGGAAAGGGTTGCATCGGACCTCAGTCCTGTAAATGTACCGACAGTAGCTGTGTCTGTAAAAAATGACTGCTTCGTTTCGTGTAAATATACCATTGTAAAGAACAAAATAAACGCATAATATTCCATAATTTGAGTATTTGATTGGTTTGGTTTTTCTTGTTTCTTAAAGCAGTATTCAACAAGGGCCCCGCAAAGCGGAGCATCCCATCGCAAAGGACATTATCTATAAATCGACCGATGCAAATGACGTCACTTCCCTTTCGCACAGCATTAACTCACTCACCAACACACAGGATCGCTTTACGGTATCTCCTCCAACGCTAGCGAGGGAATAATATAAATGAGTCTCCTTTTAAAGGAAATCATGTACATTTCATGGAATTATTTCCCTAGGTATAATTATAATAATGAAATATATTTTATATCATTAAATAAAAATATTTCACATTCTATGGTACATTGTAAAAACTAAGTATATTATAGTAAATGTTTGTCTGTGGCCCGCAGCACACAAACATCTTAACATAATTTTGTTTTCCCACTTTCTCGTAATTTTCAGTTTAAAATCAATAAAGACCACACCTCAATTTTTATGTGATGTGAATGTGTTAACTTGAATTAAATAATAATAAAGGTGATTTAATAATCAATTCTATAAAAATCAGAATCTGTTAGAATGTTAGTCCCCAATGGTGGTCCCATCCTTCTTGGTGGGAAATGACTATTAATAACTGATTTCTTCATTAACTGTTACAGGGTACGCCTGTGTCGGGGGGGGGGGGGGTAGGGAGATGCTCCCTTATAATTTTGAATGTTTATATACTAGTATATAATACAGTAATTATATAGATACAAAAAGGAATTCTTACACAGAAAGTATACAGAGCAGAGCTAAGGCGTCTTATTTTGATTAGATTCAATCTGATTAAAAACCAAGAAAACCGATCAATAAAATTTGAGGATATTTCATCGTTGTCTGTTTTTACTTGTCAAGGAATTTTTGTGAGTACCACCCCCAGCCCCCGGAATATAAAGAGTAAATATTGAAAGTATTGACATTTCAATAAATATATTGACTGCAGTTCAAAGGCAAATTGCGTTTTGTCGGACACCAGAACCAAACTGTCTCTGTCTGAGGCCGTATTTATCAAAATATAAAATTTAGTGATATTGTCGTTATAATTTAATGTAATTGAATTAAAGATTCTTAATGTTTACCGTCATTTCAATTACTGTTTTGTTAATTAGTTTGAATTTTCGTGAAAGCTAAAAATGCGAGATCCTATATTTGTTTAGCAAAATTAAATAAGATCCATTTTGAATTAATTGAATTATTAATTGGAGTTAAAGAGAGTTAATCCCATAGGGTATTTTCCACACGTCGGCCACACCAAGGATTAACGATGATTTGTTATTTTAACAATACTGTTTATCTGTTATATTAATTCTATTGTCTGTCTTTAGGATATCACCCTTTCATCGCAACACAATCTGATTAAAATCAGACCCATTGATTGGCTCACATACATGTACAATGTACATCGCTACACAAGGTATAGCGATCTATATGAGCGGATCAAAGGATCTGATTTTAATCAGATTGGGATGCGATGAAAGGGTGGCACTTATACGAAAGAAATCTCGAAAATAACCAAAGTTGTTTTGAACATCTCTTTATTCCTTCGAATTATTTTAAAAACTATTATCTATCAATATATGAAAACTTTCGCTTTCGGAGTATACACGCCGTTTTTTTTTTTTTTTTTTTTTTTTTTTTTTTGAGTTCTTCAAGACTGGTACATGTAATAGACACTTGCAACCCCCCCCCCCCCCCCCCCCCACACACACACCATTTTAATTTTATTAAAGAATTTGTTTGATCGTCAGAAAGAGGGGTAATTTTTTTTTATATTTTGCTTGTGTCGAGGTGTCTTTTATGCGCCGACGTGTCAATAATCTTGGGCCGACCTATCAAGGCCGTAGTATGAGACGTGTCGGGCCGAGCTGTCGGTGGGCCGAGATGCTTGTCCACCAGAAACGAGTTGGAAATAGGTGGAATTAATATTGTCGTGTATATTTGAATTTCTAATAATTCAAAAATAAGTAAATGATGACAATATGAAGCAAAGGGGAAAATAGTTATAACGTCAAATTTTATACATGTATTTTAAAGTCAGATATGGCGTATCTTAATTTCAGATCTCTCTATTTTGTTTCTTTATATAAAGATAGAACTTTCCTGTAAATTACACAATTTAAATCAATACCGTTTCATGAATACCACAGATTTAAAACAATAACCGATTTATTTCCGGGTCGGAATTAAATAGGAGACACACTTTAAAGTCAATTTAACTATTGAAACTTAGGGAAATCTGAGTTCCAAAGTGGTGAAAAATTGAAATTGAACGTAAATAACAAATATCATATAAATCTACACTTAATCTCAATTTTTATGTTTTAAAAAATTAGCTCAGATACGCCATATATAGCTTTAATTAATAAAAAAAATAGTTCAGATGATGACTCTTAAAATCAAATAATAATGAAATGTTTTTTAGTCTATTGTGGTTTTGTCTTTTTCTGTCAAGGTGCATGTTCAGATGGGATGGGAGTGTCCTCCAAATAATTTTGTCTATATATAGTACACGCATCTGAGCTACATTCTTTTCTTGACAAACAAAAAAAGGAAGGGGGGGGTCATCAAGCATAATTACTGAGAGCATACCTAAACTGATAATGTTGTCCCCCCCCCCCTTCCGACACAATTCTTAATTTCTAAGGGGCTTCTACGACACTCATTTGACATGTGAATGTATTGTTTTGAAAATTAGCCATTACGTAATCTTATTTTGACACAATGTACAGTTTGCACACGAAAACGTTTACTCCAACGGACGCTTTGCACCCAGTACTAAATATTTCGTGTGAACTCACCCTCTATTCATCATTCAGCTGGCGCCTAATTCTCCAAGACACCAGTCGAACAAATTGGAAGCAGTAAGGTAATGTATTTTTTTTTAATTCTTGGAACATTGATGTGAATATTTTAAAATAGATAACAATAATTTAATTAAATGAGCATCCAGACTGTGTGTACGTGAATGTATAGCATTTGCGAGTTGCGACATTATGGGAAAAAAAAAACATTTTAACTTTTCTTTCAGAGGGTATTCAGTTACCAGTATAAGAAAGAAGAATGCCTGCCACATGCAATTGCTCAGAGAGTAAGTCGTATCATTTTCAGTTGTTCAGTACACATCGTTCAAAGGAACGAAAATAGATGCATCGCCATGTATTGGTATATTTTGAAAGTAAATGATACGGATATAAAATGTCTAAAAATAAAAAAATTAAAAAGAGTTAACTTCCCGGGCTTTTTGTCACCATCCTTATAACAGAATCTTTTTTATCACTTTATTGGAAATTTTTGAAACTTTGAATGAAAAATGACTTATTCTTTTTTTACTTTAGGCCATCCAATCAGTTTTTTTTTCTGTTTAACCTCCACCTACATGTATCATTCAGAAACCTACCTTTTTGCAAAACTGCCCCCCCCCCCCCCGAAAAAAAAATACAGACTTCGAAGTCATAAAAATGTATTCAAAGAATTAACTTCATTATTCTGGGAAAATCAGATCTATTATAGATCTAACAAATGCATATCTTAATCTATGTCGAAGCAAGGTCATTCCAGTTTTTTTTTTTAATATGTTTAGCATCCAAGCATGCACTTTGGTTTTTGACACCTTATATCAGATAAAACAAGCAAAATCGTGAGCTTTAATTAAACCTGATTATTTTGGCTGAAATCTATGAGCTCTGCCGATTTTTCTAAATATTTAGTACGATGTCATAGTCTCATTGTAGACCGTGTATTTTCAGCATGAATTTCTCTTTTTAAGCGCATACGCCTCTCTTAGAAAAATAATTATTGCCTGACGTCACGGCGTCAGGCTGTATAAGGATTGATATTTTCATAATCCGAAACTATGCGATCATATCTAGATAGCTAGATTTTATGCAAGCTGATTTACATTGGAATTCTTTACCTGCATTTTAAAAGAAACAGTTTTCAGAAAAGAGAATGATATTACTGATGCAAAATACTGCAGTGTTTACTTCCTCTACTCTTTTTGCATTGAAGAGATTATGCCATGTAATTAACCGTTTCAACATGTCCGTGTATCTTATTTTCTGCATTTCTATACTACTGGATCAGTCCATTTATATTCTACGAAAGGGGTGAATCGCTCTTTTCGCGCAAAATGTCACTGCTTTCTTCGCGCCTTTTCCTTGGACTGTTCTATTGTATGAATGGGTGTGCTAGCAAGTTCCATGGAATTAAATAATGTTTATCCTTTTATCCTCCTTCTAATGCCTCAGAAATTCTCTTTACAAGTTAATGTTTTATCTCATTCTTTTAAACAACATATCGTATAATATACCAGTATGCGGACATTCAACACTAAAGAAATGATTTTTCTAATTTGCTTCCCGATCCCGCGGTTGGTTTATTCCATAAATGGAGTAGTCCAATAATAATAAACAACGCAGTTCAACCAGTCATTGTCTCCACAGGGGCGTAGCAACAGGGGGGCCAGGGTGGGCCTGCCCCCCTTTTTTTCCCCAACCTTACTTATACTATAGGAAATGTTAATTGAAAGCCTGGTTGCCCCCCCCCCCCCCACACACACACTTTTAGTGATGTACCGAAAATGTAGTATTAGAATTGGTACTGAAAGTAGTTGACACTGAGAAAAAAGTTTATCTAGAAACCACCCTCCCCCCACACGAAATAAGATTTTCGACTTTGGGCAACTTTTTCCTTTTTTTTTTGCTTGTCAACTTTTTCAGGTAAGTAAAAAAAAAATTTTCTCTGACTGGCCCCCCACTTTCAAAAACGATGCTACGCCACTGTCCAGATGCATGATCTATTATGCGTCTCTGTTCAGATGCATACAGTAAATAAGAAACAAGTGCAAATCTGGGATTTTTATTTCCACAATGGCCTAAGTATTGAATTTACTTATTTCGTTCTCAATATATGATAGTGGCACCCCCCCCCCTTTTTTAAGAAAAAATTAATGAACACACATTACTACTGTTTACTTCAGTGGAGAAAATACACTCCAACAAAATGTGTACTAGTATTTCATTATATCCATCTTTTAAAATGTTGAAAATGCGGCATGATTTGGTAACAGATTTTACAATGAAGCTTGAAATCAATGTAGATCGAAGGGCAGATCACTCCATTTTCAGACCCCCCCCCCCCCCCCCCCCCGTATGTAGTGTAGAGATGATTCTTCTAAAAGTTAAATAAAATCAAGATTTCATTTACACAAGATTCTCAAAGTATAAAGTAAGGAAATATTTTAAACCCACATTATTTCTCAAAAGGTTTATCACTCCTCATGCAGATATTGATTGATATAGTCAGGCAAGCTTTTTAAAAAGCTGTTACTTGTTAGAGTTATCGCTCTTTGATCCCGAGTGTTTTTTTTTCTCAGGTGGAAAATGCCAATGCGGGGAATTTCAAACCTGCCCATCCAGCGTATGTAAATGTGGACCCGGATGTAAATGTGGAGCTGGGTGCATGTGCACTGGATGTCAGCTGAAATGCAGCTGTAGCGGTGAGTATAATAAATAAATTTGAATTAATTAATTTAAACAAAGGACGTATTGTGTCGCCTTTCTGATTATATGAAATAAGTTTGGAAATCTTATTCTAACTCGCTGGCAGTGGAGAGGATCTTGAAATTACGGTATGTCCAGTCCAATTAGGCTTGGGACAGTTACTCTGAAACTGTGAAATTAAACACAGCGAAGCACTGAGTAAAAATTGCTACTTTTCCAGTTTACTTTGCATGTTCAGGCCACAAGACCATAAACTGAGAACAGGCTTTTGACGTAAAAACTTCACACGAATATAAATTCTGAAATAATTTTGACGATCAACTTATTCTTTTATTATGTGCTTAAAGTTTTGATATCATATAATTATTAAACTGATAAATATGCAATGTAATACATGCAAAATTATTCTCAATCTGTTTAGAATCAAAATAATGACTTAAGTCTTTAGGCTCAGCTATTCTCAGTTTATGGTGAGGGCCCCTGGTCTGCGATAAGAATGACACAGGTAGGGTAAACAATCTAAATCAGAGACCCTGGTTTCCGTGATCAATTTCGTCCAATCAAAATTTAGTTTCTTTGTTCTTGATTAACTCTGTGAAACGAAAATGCGATTAGAGATGATCACATGACCGTGAAAAGGATAATTCCTTAACAAAGAAAAATTTACTGATACCTGAGTATCGCATTATTTTGACACTAGGCATAAAAAGATAATAGGAAATCCTTAAGGTGTAACACCCCTCTTATAAGAGAAATAACTTTTCGAGTTAATTATTCTGAGCAATCCAATAAATTGCCCTGGCAAGTTATTTTCTTTTGCCAATATTTTAATATTTTTATTAAAACTTATAATAGTTTACCTAAAACATTTGTACTTAGTTTCTTTCAACTAAGAAAATTGAGATATTTCAGTCTCTTAATTATAAGATCATAATTATATATCATAATTATGATTCTTTTACCAGTTAAAAAAATTTCAAATGCATAATTTTTTAATATTTTCAATTTGATATCATCGAAAATTCTGACAAAATTGGCTAAACCATTTTGGACTAACTTCTAAAGGAACTCAGTTAAATAAGTCATGAAATGAATTATGAATAAGTGGACATTTGTATGAGCGTGTAGGGGTAGACAGACAATCTTGGACCTTTTCCCCCTTAAAATTGCACCCCCCCCTTTTTTAGCTCTACTGGTCAGAGACCAGAAGAGCTTATGCGATAGTAAGGTGTCCGTCGTCCGTTCCATCTGTCTGTCTGTCTGTCCGTCTGTCTGTAAACAATTTTTCAAAACGCTACTCCTCCTACAGTTTTGATCTGATTTCAATATAACTTGGCACACAAGTAGACTACACTAAGATACATAAAGTAGTGCATCGGTTTTTGATTTTGATGAATGGTGTTGCCATGGTTACTAAAAATAGAATTTTCTGTGAAATTCCTTTAAAATGCTACTCTTCCTACAGTTTTGATCTCATTTCAATATTACTTGGCACACAAGTAGACTACACTAAGATACATAAAATAGTTTATCGGTTTTTTATTTCGATGAATGGTGTTGCCATGGTGACTAAAAATAGAATTTTCTGTGAAATTCCTTTAAAATGCTACTCCTCCTACAGTTTTGATCTGATTTCAATATAACTTGGCACACAAGTAGACTACACTAAGATACATAAAATTTAATGCATCGATGAACGGTGTTGCCATGGTGACTAAAAATAGAATTTTCTGTGAAATTCCTTTAAAATGCTACTCCTTCTACAGTTTTGGTCCGATTTCAATATTACTTGACACACAAGTAGACTACACTAAGATACATAATATAGTGCATTGGTTTTCGATTTTGATGAAGGTGTTGCCATGGTTTTTAAAAATAGAATTTTCTGTAAAATTCCTTTAAAAAGCTACTCCAACTATAGTTTTGGTCTAATGGCAATGGCTTCTTTTCTCATCCTTTGTTATAAGTACAAACCAGTAGAGCTACAGTCTCGACAGAGACTTCTGGTTTTTTTAAATTTCCATGATGGAAATCCAGGATTTTTTTTTTTCATTAATCAGTTTTGAGATGTAGAAAAATACCAAAAATCCTGTTTAGCTGTTCTATATCAGGAAACAAATAATAAACCAATTAACTTCAGGTTTATTTCAATAACAATAAATCTTGTTTAAATGACATTGTTGAACATGTATACATGTAAACTGTTATGTTAATAGCAGAGATGTGGATTATTCTTTTTTCCCGAAGTACACCAGCATGATCTTTAGAAATTATATTGTTCAAGTCAGTATAAATGCATTTTTTTTCATTCAGATACCCTGAATTGGTTATCTTGCCGTAGAATCATGTATGAGCAAAATTCCTCAGAAATAAAATATATTGAAATTAAAATATGGCAAAAAGCATTTGGTCTAGAGATCCATAAAAAATATTCCTCATGAATTTTATGTATTAAAGTGCGTATAGGTCATCATGCATGCAAATTTTAGAGAAATTTTTAGAGATTTATCAAGGGGAAATAAATCTGATAATTTATAATTAATACTGTTGCGTGCTCATAGCAACGCGCTAGGGTGTGTCTGTTTGTTAGGTGGGAGGGGGGGGGGTCCTTCATTTATTGTATTCATAAATGTAAAGTTTATTTTAAAAAAAGCAGAAGAAATTTTACAGAGTTTCTCTTTTTTCAGGTAATTGTGCATGTGGACAAGGCTGCACCGGACCTGAATCTTGCAAATGCGCAAACAACTGTAGCTGCAGAAAGTGACGAAATATATATATAATACATGTAGTCATGTGGTCTCAGGAATATCTTATGTTTAACAACCAAAGAACAAAATACATTTTACATTCAGATAACTAAATAAATTTATTATTATTTTCAAGTTTCATTTGTCATTTTATTTGTGTTACTAGTATATATGCAGTTATTTGTAGTATGCAATTTTTGCAAGGTTTGTTGAAGCGTTCATTTTTTCAGAAATGTTCGATTTTGATATAGAATGGGTTCAGATTCCATTTTTTGGACAAATGAAATATATTTCATATTTACGTTTCAGTCAATTAAGCGTAAACGAAAAATGGAGACTTGACCCATTCATGTTCAAAATTCATTTTTTTATGGCTCTAGTAAACCCATTTTCCACTTAATATAAATTACTTAACTGTGAACATTGAAAAAAGATTGTCAAATGATAAGTCGTTCAGTAAAATAGAAAATAAAATGTTTTCAAGATGGCATTACTGAGAACAGGATTTTAGAAAAATATAATTTTCCCGTGAATTTTGAAAATTGAGAAACATATCTCGGAGCAGGAATTGTCCACGCCTTGTGGTACTCCCTCTTTCTTTCTGTGACCTCTGTGTTTTCCAAAACTAATAACCAATACTCATCAGGTATGAAAAAGGGTTTTCTTATAAAACGTTGCATCATTCTAAAAGACACCCTATCTTGTTATTTACGACGTACAATTCTATAAAAGTCAGATTAGAATTACTGATGAATTATATTGCTACCAACTCCTTTCTCCATAAAGTCAAGCTGTCAGAAAATAATGTATGTACATATTGTACGTAATATTGAAACAGAGACAATAATTCACTTATTTTATGATTGTGTATATGTGACTGAATGAATTTGTACAATGGTTTAATGTCATTGAATAAGATTATAAAATATCCAAAAGAACTGGTTTTACTTGGTAATATAGAAGGAAGTTGCTTAGAAAATTTTCTTTTATTAGTTCCAAAAAAGTTCATTTACTATTCAAGATCACAAGGCATTAAGCCATTATTTATTGATGCAGTAAGGTTATTTAAATTTTACAGAAACAGAGAAAATTGTTCTGAAAAAGTTTTTCAATTTAAGGACAAAATACTAGTACTCAGTAAATGGGCCCTGTATGATAATGTGTACAACAAGTGATGAAAAATCAAAATTGTATATTCTTTATATCTACACAATTTGGTACATCTGTTCTGTTTTTGGATAACTCGTTGATTAACTGTCATATGTTTACATTTAGGCCATGCAAAGTTAATTACTTGGTTCTCAGGCCTTTTTTCAATGATTTTTTTTTTCTTTTTTATTGCCCCCAAAACATGACGAGGCAGCTTTTTACATTGTACAAAACCTCAAAAAATGATGAGGGAGGTGTGTGTTTATATTTTATTGATTTAGCAATAAAAAGGGTCAATGAGGCACCCTTGGAAGAGATGAGGGAGGGCCTGAGAACCAAGAAATTAATTTTTTTTTGCCTTATGTATATGTATCATTTTCAAATTTTAGAAAGTGCTCTTTGTGAGTGTGTGTAATTGTGTGGTGAGTGGGTGGAAATTGTTTGGTATGTGTTTAAATATACCAAACATTGTATACATAGATATGGAAAAAACTTCAAAATAAAGCATTAAAAAGGATGTTCCGAATCCTCTACCACTTGAGAAGCTGACTGATGGACATAAGGACTGATGATCCATTTCTAGCTCACCTGATCAAAGTTTTAATATTATGCATATAGCAAAAATCTTTTAAAATATCTTCTTCTCAAGATACTTATTATGATGTGAATAAAACTTCTAAAACGTTTTGTGGAACAAAAACTTTGAATCCAGGTTTATGGTATATATTTCTGCTTAAATACATATATTCAGTCAAAATAAAGACAAAAAAGTACCGTTCATAAATGTTTTTCATTCGTATAAGAGTATAAAATACTCGGGCATGCATTATTGGGGAGGATACTGTAAATTTAAAATGGAAAAACCGCTCACTTTTTGTCGCAACATTATCAACTTCTAACAAGTGTATTTTAAAAGGGTCCATGCCCCCTTCCTCACTCAAATAAAAAAAAATCACAAACGAATATTTTTCAAAACTTTTGTTTTTCTATTTTTCTCTTTCAGAGAGAGAGAGAGAGAGAGAGAGAGAGAGAGAGTAAAATGAAATAATACTTGAAATAATTTAATACAATCGACGCAGGGTTAAGTATATTTTACATCTTCCTGACACGTTTATTTGTAATTTTTGTCATTTGTTTGTGTTGGAGATGACGATCTAAAATTGAATAAATCAAACTCCAGTTCATAATTAATATTTTGCATGAAGTCCGAACAATCAAACTAAAGCATACCCTGTACATGTACAAATGTATAAACATTGTATATGGATATTTGCCAAGAACACAGTAAGATATTTATGCTTCTATACGTACGTAATTGTTTACACTCTATTTTTGACCCTATATCTCCTCCCCTTAAAAGAGACAGGGGTTCATGCCCCCTTTCCCGGCCGATCAAATAGGAAACGAACGAATATTTTTTCAAAAGAGAGAGAGAGAGAGAGAGAGAGAGAGAGAGAGAGAGAGAGAGAGAGAGTATTTGTTTGTATTACAATCAACGGAGAATATTTTACAATCTATCTAGATGAAATAACTTGTGTCCAATCCATCTGATTATGTTTCAATAAAACATGCTTAAATCAAACACCAGTTCTTTACGCTAATATGGCCATTTGCATTAAGTCCGAACAATCAAACTAAAAACACACATATATACGTTGTCCATGTATATACATGTACATTGTATATGGATATTTGCCAAGAAAAGTTTTCAATAAGATATTTACACACCTACATAGTTGTTCAAGGTCATCCCCGTATCAACTATTTTTGTATAGACCCTATACATTTTGCACACGGTACTGTATATACAACTTATCAATTTTGCACACGTTTTTCTGAAAATTTGTATAACGTGTGCTTACATGTGTATATTCATATTATACACTATATTCAAGTGGCGAGAAAATCATGAGCACTTCTTTGTATAATTAATAATTTTAAATTCAATTACTTTACACAATGCTGACCTGAATTTAATTAATAACATTTCCACTTTATAAGGTTTACCGTTTAGCATAAAAATTTTGATATTTGATTCGAAATTTTATTTTCTAATCTAATTTACTATACTAAGAAGAAGAGAGCTTAAAAACGATACCGTTTGTATGATGAAAAAATGAGGAGAAAATTTATTAATTTTTTTCATTATTATCATTGTATTAAAAAAAAATTATTTTCTCCTCTTCAGACAACGCCCTGTAATACAAAAGAGGGGGGGGGGGCAACAAAACACACAGTAATTAATGGAGGTCTGGGAGGCACACCCTGTTCAAATTTGGTGTGTGTGTGAGGGTGTGTGTGTGTTTACAGTTGAAATTTTAAAAGCAAACAAACAAACAAAAATCATTGCCAAGCATTTTTTTCAGGAAACCCAAAATTACTAGCTTTTTGTCACAAATGATGATTAGCGTAATAAAAATTCCTTGGGAAGGGGTGTGGTGTGTCTGGCGTTTTTGCGTTGTGTCACATTGCATTTATTTGATTGACTATACACTAGTATGTATACAATGAATGTATATTATAATGTATATGTCTTCTTGTTAAATACATTAAGAAATCCTCATCACTCAATAAAGATATTTTATTTTTTTGTTGTTGTTGAATTTACAGGCACCTGTCCTTGCGCAATAGGTTGCATTGGACCCAAGTCCTGTAAATGTACCGACAGTATCTGCACAAAACATGACTGCCTGGCCACGTGACAGAATTCCATTGTAAAGATCAAAACAATAAATGCATAATTTATACTAGTATCGTAAATGGGTTTTGTTTATTTATTTGTTTATCTTGTAGGGAATGCAGGTCATGTAGCTCCGAAAATCCCCCAAATACTTATGAATCCCTATTCCTACATATAAATTTAAATGTGAATAAATATGAAGTACTTGTATGTGAAATTAAAATAATATAAACATTGTAGCTCTCAGTCCTTCACTTTGATGGGTTGTAATGCATGCATTTATTTACTAGTAAACTAGTACAGTTGTATAAAAAATGTAAAGGGATATGTCGCACAGTTAATTAGGCCCCTATTTAATATTGACATCAACAGCATGGACTTATTATACGCGGGGTTGGAGCAGATCAAAGACTTTGATTTAATTTAAATGGATAAAACATGCTTGGGGAAGGAGTCCGAATATTGTGGAAGACTTAATAAGCAAAGTGAATTCCCTCCCCCGCAAAGAGACACGGGGCGTATGCATATTTCGAAGGGGAAGCCGAGGGGGGGGGGCGTCTGCCCCCGGGATTTTTAAAGTGGTTACCCCCTCTTCGTAAGGTTATTAGAAAAGTCAGAAAAATCAAAGAAAAACGACTTCACACCAAAAAGTTTTTTTTGCCTTTGAGAAAGATTTTTCTGTTTGTGAAATTTTAAATAATTCCTGAGTTTTGTTTTTTAAGTGGGTGTTTAATACACGCCCCTTCATTGAAAAAGTTCCTGGATCCGCGCAAGAGGAGGGTGCAGAGCTATACTAGAAGTCTAGTGCTACATGTACTGAAGATAAGAATTTATCACAGGAAATCATAGTGAAATATCTTCGGGGAAAATTAAAAAATATAATTAAACGGACTCTTGAAAAACCGTGAAATCTCTTATAATTGAAAGCATGCAGCACAGCGGTACTCTTTTCCTATAATTAATTCCATCGATCGATCGAGAGAGAGAATAATATAAATTGATGCATGGAATAATAATAATATAACACAATTGACGCACGGTAAAGTATATTTTACACCCTCATAACACGTTTATTTGTATGTTTTTTGTCATTTGTTTGTGTCGGAGATGACAATTTAAGATGGAATAGCTTTCAACAATCCTATTGATTATGTTTCAATAAAACATGCTTAAATCAAACACCAGTTCATCATTTATATTTTGCATTAAGTCCGAACATTCAAACTAGAAGTACACAATGATATATATAAACTGTACATGTATATACATTAGATTACATGTATATATATATGGACATTTGCCAAGAACACAGTAAGATATGCTTCTACGTAATTGTTTACACTCTATTTTTGACCCTATACATTTTGCACACGGTACTGTATATACAACTTATCAATTTCGCACACGATTCTGAAAACTTGTATAACGTTTCTATACATATGTATATTCATATTTTATTCTATATATAGTGGTGAGAAAATCCTTAGCGCTTCTTTGTACAAGGAATAATTAATATACACTTTTAAAGTTCTAATTTACTATTTACTTAGAAGCAGAGGGGATTTACAATACTGTTTGTATGATTAAAAAAATGAGGAGAAAATTAATAATTTTTCTCATTGTTATCATATTTTAAAAAAAATCATTTTCTCTTCTTCAGACAACACCCTGTAATACAAAAGAGGGGGGGGGGGGCAACAAAACACACAGTACCTCAAGTTCTCAATTAAAGTCTGAGATACACACCCTGATCAAATTTTAGGGGGTGTCATTTTCACAGTTGAAATTTTTAAAGCAAACAAATGCACAAACAAAAATCATTGCCTAGCATTTTTTTCCCAGGAAAGCCAAAATTTCTAGCTTTTTTTTTTGCACAAATGCATTATAGAGAACTAAAAATTCCTGAGGAAGGCGTTTGGTGAGGGTGGTGTCGTTGTGTTTTGTTGCATTGCATTTATTCGAATATACATGTATACAAAGAATACAAATATAATAATATAATGTATATGCCTTCTTGTTAAATACTTCAAGACATCCTCATCAATCAATATATTTTTTTTTAATTCAAATTTACAGGAACTTGCGCTTACGCAAAGGGATGTACCGGACCACAATCTTGTAAATGCAACGACAGTAGCTGTGTCTGCAAGAAATGACTCCCTGGTCACATAAGAGAATTCCACTGTTAAGAATAAAATAATAATTGCATAATATAATCGTAAATGGAGGGTTTTTTAATTTGTTTTTCTTGAGAGGAATAATGGTCATGTAGCTCACATTATCCCCCAAATAATTATGACTCCCCCTGTACATTTTATCCCTGCATGCAAACTTTCAGCATAAATACATATAAACCTACACATGTATATAAGAAATATTGCAGTTGTATTTTACCGCATGAATGCACGTACATGTACAGCGGTATACTTGTTTATTTTACAATGTCTTCAGGCACTTAAATAACTGCCGTATTCTCGCTATGAATAATCATCAGTTGGAATTTACACATTGTATACCTATAGTGCCGTGTGCAAATTAAATATACAATCAATTGTATACTGGTATCTCAAGCGATATTTTAAATCCCCTACTCTGATATAATTGAACCCTATACATTTCTTGCACACGCTACTCAATATACATCTCATGATGGTTTGCACACGATACTAAATCTATAATGTATAAAGTGCGCTTATGCTTTGTTTATTTTGAATCCCATTATAATTGAACCCTATACATTTTTTGCACACGCTACTTAGTATATGTATACATCTCGTGACTTTAATGGCTTGCACACGATACCAAATGTGTAATGTATAAAGTGGGCTTGTGCTTCGTGTATTCTTTATTCAATCTACGTTTTAACAAGGCCTTCTGTGCAAGGAATTTTAGCAATTCATATTAAGAAGGTATGTGTATATCGTATAAATAAATAAATAAGTTTAAAAAAAAATAAAGAAAAAAAAAGAAACAAAATAATAGAATTCTTTGGCGATTTTGAAAAAAAAATTAATTATAGTCAAAATTAAATTTGTCAAAAATTAGAAAGTTTTTCTTTTTTGTGAAAAAGTTTTATTCTCTTTTCCAGAAAACATCATAAATAAACAAAAATGTCTGATCCATGCGACTGTCTAGCAAGTAAGTTACTCTATTTTGAATTGGTTCTATTTTGCCCCATTTAATTGGTTCAATGCTGTTAGAGTTGTCGATCCTTGTCCGTATGAAATGAATTGATTTAAAATTTTCTTTCAGCCAGCAAATGTATGTGCGCAGACTCGTGTCCATCAAGTGGCTGTAAATGTGGGGGCGGATGTAAATGTGGATCCAGCTGTAAATGTCCCGGATGTAAAGTGAATTGCAACTGTAATGGTAGGTTGATATTTTCATACACTTTGGAAAAATGAATATTCATTTAAAATACCTACTGCATGGTACTACTACCTCTATTTCTCTATCAGACCTATGTGTTTTCTTCTAGTTGAAAAGATTATTCAAATTTTGGCAGGGATAGTTCTCCAAATTTTTTGAAACAAACAAACCCACAAACAATTATGATAAGTACCTACCGAATATTTTCTAGGAGACTCAGATCATGTGTTCTTGTTGGTACATAACATTAAAAAAACCAAAACATTAAAAACAAAATAATATTGTTTGTAGGGTGTGTGTTTTCTTTACATTAATTATTCAAAACATATTTTTGTCGCTATTATTTTTTCCTTCGCATTTTTATTAACTGAATATTTCTTGCTGAGTGAGAATCACTTAGATCATATTTAACGATTAGATTAAAATGCAGGCACGAAGTACTGGGGGGGGGGGGCTTACGCCACTTTTTCCGAGCATAACTTTTTCCTCTTGAAACGCGAAGTGTTTATTGAAAGTTTGGTTGGAACTAAAGCCTATTAGAATCAATCTACGGAGAAAAAAATTATAAGGCATAATAACGCCTTTTGGAAAGGCGTAGTAAGGAGTGAATAGCTTTTTGCTTGCTTGTCAATTTTTTGGGACCCCTCCCCCATCAGTAACTTCAAATGAACGGGCCTGCCAAGGCCTTTCCAAAAAGCGCAAAAAATGCATTTTAATGAATTTTATCGCTTTTTGAAAAGAGGTAATGATGCTTTTTTTCGCGTTATTACGCCATTTTGGTGTTATTACGCCTTTTTCAAAAGGCGTTCTTACGTCTATTAATATTTCTCTCCATAACGCAGAAACATATTTATAGGATTTTATTGTTAATAACACCCCCTCCCCCTGCCTCACTCAGGATTACTAGGATTAGGATTTTGAATTCTGGATAGTTTTCCTTTTCAATGTTTTTTTTTTATAAAGTTCAAAGTTTTTTCTTTGGGAGGGGATGTTAAGCTTTAATTTTTTTTGGCTGCACCTTTCACTTAAAACACGATATTTCATGTCTAGCAATTTTTATTTACAGGAATCTGTGCATGTGCAAAGGGATGCATTGGACCCCAGTCCTGTAAATGCACTGACAGTAGCTGTGTCTGCAAAACATGACTGCCTGGCCACGTGACAGAATTCAATTATAAAGAACTGTATAATAAATGCATATTTTACCATAGATGGAGTGTTTCTTTATTTTTTTTTTCTTTAAGCTCCTTATACTTTTTTACGACAATACACGTATAGACTTGACGAGAAAATATTATCATATTATTATATAAAGGGTGTTAAGAAAGTTCATCCCACATTTTTCTTTTATTTTCGAAGAAAAATATAAGATATTTACAATTTGTGGTATTTCATGTGTATAGAGCTCATTCTTGCTACTGGAGCATTTCTATCATTCGGGTGCGAAAATACAGGATTGTTTTTGTATTTATCAGTTTTTGAGGTGTAGAAAAATACCAAAAAATCATGTTTAACTGTTCTGTATCAGGAAACAAATAATAGTCCAATTTCAGGTATATTCCAATAACAATAAATCGTGTTTAAGTGACATTGTTATATATGTAAGCTGTTATGCTAATAGCAGATCTGTGGATTATTCTTTCTTTCCCCGAAGTAAACTAGCATGATCTTTAGAAATTATGTTATTCAATTGACTCTAAATGCATTTTGTTCATATACACAACTTATCAATTTTGCACACGATTCTGAAAATTTGTGTAACGTTTCTATACATGTGTATATTCATATTATATTCTATATATTCGAGTGGTGAGAAAATCCTTAGCGCTTCTTTGTACAAGGAATAATCATACACTTTTAAGTTTAATTTACTATACTTAGAAGCAGAGGGGATTTACGATACTGTTTGTATGATGAAAAAATGAGGAGAAAATAATTTTTCTTTCATTATTATCAGTGTGTTAAAAAAATAAATCATTTTCTCCTCTTCAGACAATACCCTGTAATACAAAAGGAGGGGACAGCAAAACTTACAGTGCATCAAGTTCTCAATTAATGGAGGTCTGGGAGACACACCCTGTTCAAATTTGGGGGGAGGGGGTTTGTATTTTTACAGTTGAAATGTTAAAACCAAACAAAAGCACAAACAAAAATCATTGACTAGCATTTTTTTTTCAGGAAACCCAAAAATTCAAGCTTTATGGCACAAATGATAATTAGAGTAATAAAAATTGCTGGGGAAGGGGCGTGCTGTGTCTGGCGTTGTTGCGTTGTGTCACATTGCATTTATTTGATTGCCTACACTAGTTTTTATACAATGAATGCATATATATAATGTATATGTCTTCTTGTTAAATACTTTAAGATACCCTAATCACTCAGTAAAAATATTTTATTTTTTGTTGTTGTTGAATTTACAGGCACATGCGCTTGCGCAATAGGTTGCATCGGACCACAGTCCTGTACATGTACCGACAGTAGCTGTGTCTGCAAAAAATGACTGTTTGGTCCAGTGACAGAATTCCATTGTAAAGATCAAAACAAGAAATGCATAATTTATACTCGTATCATAAATGGGTTTTGTTTATTTATTTGTTTATCTTGTAGGGAATGCTGGCCATGTAGCTCCAAAAATCCCCAAAAATAATTATGAATCCCCAATCCTACATATAAATTTAAATGTGAATAAATATGAAGTGCTTGTATGTGAAATTAAATTGATATAAACATTGTAGCTCTCAGTCTCTCACTTTGATGGGTTGTGATGCATGCATTTATTTACTAGTAAACTAGTGCAGTTGTATAAAATGTAGAGGGATGTCGCACAATCAATTACTAGTATTTGATATTGACATCAACAAGACTTATTATACACGGGATTGGAGCGGATGAAAGATTTAGATTTAATTTAAATGGATAATGCATGCTTGGAGAGGGAGTCCGAATGTTGTAAAATACTTAATAAGCAAAGTGAATTCCCTCCCCCGCAAAGAGACACAGGGAGCATACATATTTCGAAGGGGAAGCCGATGTGTGTGTGTGTGTGCGGGGGGGGGGGGGGGTCTGCTCCGGGATTTTCAGAGTGTTTACCCCCTCCGGGGAAACAATGACTCTTCGCAAGCAGAGAATAAAATAAATTGATGCATGGAATAATAATAATATAACACAATCGACGCACGGTAAAGTACATGTATATGTTTTTGTCATTTGTTTGTGTTACATAGGACAATTTAAGATTAATAAACTTTCAAAAATTCCATTGATTATGTTTCAATAAAACATGCTTAAATCAAACACCAGTTCATCATTCATATTTTGCATTAAGTCCGAACAATAAAACTAAAAGCACACAATGATATATATATAAACTGTACATGTATATACATTAGATTGTATGTATGGCCATTTGCCAAGATCACAGTAAGATATTTATATTTCTACGTAAATGTTTACATTCTATTTTTGAACCTATACATTTTGCACACGGTACTGTATATACAACTTATCAATTTTTGCACACGATTCTGAAAATTTGTATAACGTTTCTATACATGTGTGTGTATTCATATTTTATTCTATATATAGTTGTGAGAAAATACTTAGCGCTTCTTTGTACAAGGAATAATTAATATACACTTTTTAAGTTCTTATTTTCTATTTACTTAGAACTGGAGGGGATTTACAATACTGTTTGTATGATGAAAAAAATGAGTAGGAAATTAATTATTTTTCTCATTAATATCATTGTATTTAAAAAAAATAATTTTCTCTTCCTCAGACAACACCCTGTATTACAAAAGGGGGGGGGCAACAAAACACACAGTACCTCAAGTTCTCAATTAAAGTCTGAGATACACACCCTGATCAAATTTAGGGGATGTCAATTTTACAGTTGAAATTTCAAAAGCAAACAAACGCACAAACAAAAATCATTGCCTAGCATTTTTTAAGAGAGGAAAGCCAAAATTTCTAGCTTTTTTTGCAGAAATGCATTACAGAGAACTAAAAATTCCTGGGGAAGGCGTGTGGTGAGGCTGGTGTCGTTGTATTGTGTTGCATTGCATTTATTTGAATATACATGTATACAATGAATGTAAATATAATAATATAATGTATATGTCTTCTTGTTAAATACTTCAAGACATCCTCATCAATCAATATATATATTTTTTAAAATTTAAATTTACAGGCACCAGCGCTTGCACAAAGGGATGCACCGGACCATAGTCCTGTAAATATACCGAAAATAGCTGTGCCTGCAAGAAATGACTCCCTGGTCACTTGAGAGAATTCTATGTGAAGAACAAAATAATAATTGCATAATATATCGTAAATGGAGGGTTTCTTTATTTATTTGTTTTTCTTGAAGGGAATGGTGGTCATGTAGCTCACAGAATCCCCCAAATAATTATGACTCCCCACTCCAACATATAAATTTAAATGTGATTAAGTATGAAGTACGTGTTGGTTAAAAAAAATATATATATTGTAAATATCACTTTAAGGGCAGTTGTGTATGCATTTGGTACTATTTTCTAACAAACTAGTACAAATGTATAAAAATGCAATGTAGAGTGATTTTCCGCAAGTAATTTATTCAATTATTCATTGTTTATGATATCTATGACCAGAACAAGTATGAATTTTGATTTTCTTTTTCTAAATTAGAAATCATAAATACAATATCTTGAGCCTAACAGGTCTGAAGAAACACTTTAAAAACACTGTATAAAAAATGCTTGTACATTGTATCCCTGCATGCAAACTTTTGGCATAAATACATATAAGCCTTTACATGTATATATGAAATATTGCAGTTGTATTTTACCACATGAATGCACATACATGTATAACAGTATACTTGTTTGTTTTACAATGTCTTCAGGCACTTAAATAACTTTTCCAGAAAACATCATAAATAAACAAAAATGTCTGATCCATGCGACTGTCTAGCAAGTAAGTTACTCTATTTTGAATTGGTTCTACATGTATTTTGCCCCATTTAATTGGTTCAATGCTGTTAGAGTTATCGATCCTTGTCCGCATGAAATGAATTGATTTAAATTTTCTTTCAGCCAGCAAATGTCTGTGCGCAGACCCGTGTCCATCAAGTGGCTGTAAATGTGGGGGCGGGTGTAAATGTGGATCCAGCTGTAAATGTCCCGGATGTAAAGTGAATTGCAACTGTAATGGTAGGGGGATATTTTCATACACTTTGGAAAAATGAATATTCATCTAAAATACCTACTGCTTTGTACTACTACCTCTATTTCTCTATCAGACATATAAGTGTTTTCTTCTAGTTGAAAAGATTATTCAAATTTTGGCAGGGGTAGTATTTCAAATTTTTTGAAACAAACAAACCCACAAACAATTATGATAAGTGCCTTCCAAATATTTTCTAGGAGACTCAGATCATGTGTTCTTTTGGTATACATAACATTAAAAAACCAAAACATTAAAAACAAAATAATATTGTTTGTAGGGGGTGTGTTTTCTTTTATTTACATTGATTATGCCAAACATAGTTTTGTCGCTATTATTTTTTCCTTCTCATTTTTATTTACTAAATATTTCTTGCTGATTGAGAATCACTTAGATCATATTCAACAATTAGATAAAAATGCAGGCACGAAGTACTAGGGAGGGGGAAGCCCCTTACGCCACTTTTTCCGAGCATAACTTTTTCCTCTTGAAACGCGAAGTGTTTATTGAAAGTCTGGTTGGAACTAAAGCCTATTAGAATCAATTTACAGAGAAAAAAAATTATAAGGCATAACAACGCCTTTTGGAAAGGCCAAGTAAGGAGAGAATAGCCTGTCTGCTTTTTGCTTGCTTGTCAATTTTTTCGGACCCCTCACTCCTCAGTAACTTCAAATGAACGGGCCTGCCAAGGCCTTTCCAAAAAGCGTAAAAAATGCATTTTGATGAATTTTATCGTCTTTTGAAAAGACGTAATGATGCTTTTTTCGCGTTATTACGCCATTTTGGCGTTATTACGTCTATTAATTTTTCTCTCCATAATGTAGAAACATATTTATATATAGGATTTTATTGTTAATAACACCCCCTCCCACTCAGGATTACTAGGATTAGGATTTTGAATTCTGGATAGTTTTCTTTTACATTGTTTTTTTTAAATTCAAAGTTTTTTCTTTGGAGTGGGGGTGTTAAGCTTTAATTTTTTTTGGCTGCACCTTTCACTATAAACATGCAGGATATTTCATGTCTAGCATTTTTTTTATTTACAGGAATCTGTGCTTGCGCAAAGGGATGCATTGGACCCCAGTCCTGTAAATGTACTGACAGTAGCTGTGTCTGCAAAACATGACTGCCTGGCCATGTGACAGAATTCAATTATAAAGAACTATATAATAAATGCATATTTTACCATAGATGAAGTGTTTCTTGACTTTTTTTTCTTTAAGCTCCTTATACTTTGTTTTACGACAGTACACGTATAGACTTGACGAGAAAATATTATCATATTATTATATTAAGGGTGTTAAGAAAGTTCATTCCACATTTTTCTTTTATTTTCGATAAAAAATATGACGAGAAAATATTTACAATGTGTTATATTTCATGTTTATAGAGTCCATTCTGGCTACTGATAAAGTTTTCATTGTCTTTTGTTGAATCAATAGGGGGAGGGCAGACATTAAAACAGATGATGTCTGTGCAGAAAAATCAGGGGTGACGCATATTTGTGACATTTATTAGTCAAAACATCCTTTCAAATACTAGTACTATACAAAAATTATTAAGTCGGTGAAGAATGAGAAAATGACAAACCTATTCTTTTGAAAATGATCTATCGTTCTTATATCTACGCTCACCAGCTTGTGTGATGCAAGAACAATTCTTTATTTTTACTCAAAATGACTAGCATTTCTATCATTCGGGTGCTTTAAAGATGTTATGTATATATTCATTCGGAAGAAATATCCTATAGCTTCCTGCTTGAAATGAATTCCTATAAATCTAAAGCACAGTCTTGTGATTTTTTTCATACTAGAAAATTCATCTCTTTAGTTAAGCACTATACTTTGAAATTTTTGAAAATATTTCATCAAGGAACGAACTTTCTTAACACCCCTTACATGATATTATATAGCGTATGATATAATAAAAAAGGGAAGCTAACAAACAGTGAGCAATCTCAACAATCTATAAACAATTATACAAATCTGTTAAGGGGGTATAAAACACGGACTTGTGGAAATCAGAGAGGTGGGATCAGGTGCCTAGGAGGAGTTAGTATCCCCCTATAGTTTACCAATCACATCCAATGTGTGAAACAAGGTAGGAAATAATTAATAGGGTCAATTTCAGAAATAGGTATAATAATTTAATTAATAGGATCTAACATTCTTAGGGGGAATACGAACTCGATTCCCCGCAAAGGGATGCGAGGGGGGCACAGATAAACTGGTAATTCTTTAGCAGTTTTAAGCCGTAGTAAGAATCGGTGTCCACGGTTTTATCTCATCAAACCGTGATTCCAAATAATTATATTTCTTTAAAATTTAGAATTGTCTGAGATTTTGCTCAAAACCGTTTTTTTTTTTAAATATCACCAAATTAAATGTCAGAAATGTAAATAAGCCTCAAAAGCTTTAAGAGAAATCTAGGGAAAATCTGAAGAAAAAAAAATCAAAGGAAATCACAGTACACAATATCGTACTGAAAATAATATTTTACATAAATATATTTACGAATACTGAAAGAACATTATGTCTTGTTACAAAAACTATCTTACTCTAGTTCTATCACTTCCATACCCAGAGAGAGAGAGAGAGAGAGAGAGAGAGAGAGAGAGAGAGAGAGAGAGAGAGAGAGAGAGAGAGAGAGAGAGAGAGAGAGAGAGAGAGAGAGAGAGAGAGAGAGAGAGAGAGAGAGAGAGAGAGAGAGAGAGAGAGAGAGAGAGAGAGAGAGAGAGAGAGAGAGAGAGAGAGAGAGAGAGAGAGAGAGAGAGAGAGAGAGAGAGAGAGAGAGAGAGAGAGAGAGAGAGAGAGAGAGAGAGAGAGAGAGAGAGAGAGAGAGAGAGAGAGAGAGAGAGAGAGAGAGAGAGAGAGAGAGAGAGAGAGAGAGAGAGAGAGAGAGAGAGAGAGAGAGAGAGAGAGAGAGGATATGGATATTTATAGATTTATGCTATACAGTCTATAGTCTTCCCCGAATCACCATTTGTGTGGACCCTATACATTTTGAACCCATATTTTGTATAGGATGAGTTAACCATGTACCGGATACATACCTTACTGCGGACAACTTTGAACAATTAACTCTCTTTTTAAAACTTGAGTGTTCCTGTGTATTTATATGGCATGTGTTCGATCTTTTCTATTCTTATTTACATTGTATAATTCTCCATTTGTATTGCATAATTTTTCATTTGCATTGTAAAATTTTTCACTTGCATTGTAGAATTTTTATTTGTATTCTAAATTTTCCATATGTATTTGATTTTTTAAAATTTGTATTGTATAATTTTTATTTGTATTCTATAATTTCAGGATACATCAGTGATAGAGAACGATGTCTGATCCATGAAACTGTCTAGCAAGAAATATATGTATTATGAAATATTTTGAATTGGTTCAAGATAGTTAGAGTTATTGTTCCTTGTCTGTATGAAATTTTTGGACAATATTATTTTGGCGGGAAATATCTGCAGCTGCAAATGTCCCGGATGTAAAGTTAAATGCAACTGAACGGTAATTTTTTTTATAGATCTTCGCTGTAGGTCTATGTTTTTTTTAAAAACTTAGTTGTAAAATACAAGAGCATCTGAAATACCATCTTATATACACTATGAAACTTTTACAGCTTGTTTCTTTCTGTTAATGATCAAGCCTTGGACACTGTTTGTTGTGAATTAAAAACAACAATCAAGGAACTATATAATTTTTATTTATCAATTTTAAAACATTCTTATATAAGATTCCCAACCTGATCATTCTTCCTAGCTCATATATATAATTTTTATTTATCAATTTTAAAATATTCTTATATAAGATTCCCAACCTGATCATTCTTCCTAGCTCATACTCATGGCATTGAAATATTAAAATTTTTACTGACAAGTTCAGTGTCTGGTTTTCTTTTTTTCACATTGATTTTGCCATTCCTTAATATTTCTTGCTATCTATGCCATGCATCCTATTCAACATTTTGATAAAAATGCAGACACCAAAGTATCACCCTACCAAACTGGAAGTTCTCCCAACCAACTTTATCCCCATAAAATTTTTTTACTACTGAAAATGTTTATTGAAAGGCTAGGTGGCCTCATTTTTAGTTACATACAGTAATACTAGTATATCATTCGATGTATTTGTTAATATTTTTACTAGTTTCCTTTTTACTTAAGAAAACGATACCAGTATTACATTCCCGTTGATGTTTTGTGTAATTTACAGGAACCTGTGCTTTCGCAAACCTCACTCCTGACAGTAGCTGTGTCTGCAAGAAATGACTTCATGGCTATATGATAGAATTCCACTTGTAAGGAACAAAAATGCCTAATATATAGCATAAATTGAGTTTCTTTTTTTGTTCCTTATACTTGAGAAAATATTTCTTTAATATAATATTACATGTATACATCATATAATGTAATAGTATATGCTACAAATTAATGAAAACGGGGAAAGTTAAAGAAAACTGATGAATCTAAAAAATCTATAAAGAATACATACTTGTGAAGAGGGCGTAAAAATCGGATCCCCTGTAATACTAGAGATTGGATCCTCCCCTGTAATGCTAGAGATTAGATCCTCCCCTGTAATGGTAGAGATTAGATCCTCCCCTGTAATCCTAGAGATTAGATCCTCCCCTGTAATCCTAGAGATTAGATCCTCCCCTGTAATGCTAGAGATTAGATCCTCCCCTGTAATGCTAGAGATTAGATCCTCCCCTGTAATGGTAGAGATTAGATCCTCCCCTGTAATCCTAGAGATTAGATCCTCCCCTGTAATCCTAGAGATTGGATCCTCCCCTGTAATGCTAGAGATTAGATCCTCCCCTGTAATGGTAGAGATTAGATCCTCCCCTGTAATGCTAGAGATTAGATCCTCCCCTGTAATGGTAGAGATTAGATCCTCCCCTGTAATGGTAAAGATTGGATCCTCCCCTGGTGACCGTTCACTCCTGAAGAGTGAAAGGATGCAGGTAGAAAGCGTTTGATAGGGTCAAATATATGGGTCTATTGTTTGAATCCGGGTAATACATACATTAAGAAAGATTTAAGAAGCGAGGGGTGGGGATGGGGGCACAAATTAACTGATGACTTTGTAGTAGTGCCGTGTTGAAAAGTGAAAATAAGTTTTCGAGGTTTTACTTCCCCGAACTGTGATTCCGTATATGTTTTTCTTTGAATCCCATTTCTGGCTTTCTTCTCAATAACATTTATTTAACATACGTAACCAACGCAAATGTCAGGAAACTGTATAGTATTTATTAGGAGAATAATTTCATATGACAGCTTAGATATAATTACCAATTTTTATATGTAAGTGAAGTTTTGAAGTGATCGAGAAATAAAGCATCATGTTTTGAGTAACATTTTATGAAAAATCGTAATTATATATATGCACAATATTTTTTCAGAAAAATTATCAAATCAACAAAAATATTGAAAAATCATGCATTTTCTAAAACAATTTATTTTACCCATTTCCAACATTTTCATTTTAATTTCTATCCTGAGAGATTGAGAGAGAAAATATTACAATTTACGCATGTACTTTTACAGTTACTAGTACATATCTTATACTTTAGCTATCTCGTGACAAGTACATTTGCACAATTACCTAAAGCTCTGATTAAAATACAAATTTGGATATCTGCCAAGAACATCACGTAATGTGACTTCGATATTTAAAAAAAAAAATAATCGACAAAGCTGACAATATAGGAAAGTCTTGAAAATAGATTCATTTATTCCTTTTTCTATGTCACACGCTATACATTGATAAGTTTGATGTAAGCTATAGTAAATATTTACTGTTTTATGCCACAGTCTGTAGTTATTCCCTTATCAACTTTGTAAAAAAATATTAAAATTTATACATTTTGCACACGATACTGTGTATACAACCTATCGCTATTTGCACACGATGCTGAATATTTGTATAACGTGTATATACGTAATATTGTATTCTTTATTCAAAGGGAGTGATACTCATAAGAACTCCTTTTAAAAAGGAATATACAATTCTCGACAGTAAAAGGTAGGTTGTATTTTCTTTCTTTATATTGAACATAGAATTTTTACAATGTTTACGATACTGATGGAAAAAAAATCAATATTAATTTCATGACTAATGTACCAATATTATCATAGCTTCAAACATCATTTTCTCCTTTCAGCAAACACACGATAAAAAAAAATGTCTGACCCCTGCAACTGCATAGAAAGTAAGTTGGGACAATTTCCTTGTACGTGTATCAAATATTACCGATAACAAGCCTTGTAATATGTTCGAGTTGTCGCTCTTTATACTTCGATAAACATGAAAATTTATTTTTTTTTCTAGCTGGAAAGTGCGAATGCGCAGATTCCTGCCCCTCAAGTGGATGTAAATGCGGATCCACCTGTAAATGTGGACCCAGCTGTAAATGTCCCGGATGTAAACTCAAATGCAACTGCAGCGGTAAGTTGATATCTTTATCCATGAATGTACATACATGTACATAGGTTTATTTAAAAAAAGAAATACCAAAGGCGGATCCAGGGCCGGCAAGCCGGGGGTGCATGCGCCCCTTGAATTTTTTGTATGTAAAACTTATTTGTCCGTTATCCTAAAATCAAAGAAAAAAATCTCTTATTTGTAAAAGTATGTCAGCTTTTGGGACCCCCCACCAGGGCCTTGCCCTAGAACCACTGGGGGCTACATTGCAGCCCCCCCCCTAAACCACCTGCCTTCTACTGCTCCCCCCAGTTACGAAATTCCTGGATTCGCCACTGAATACTTAGTATGTATAAAAACCATGTACATATACATTTATACTGTTTCAGACATATTTAGAGAATCATTGTTCTCAACTGAATTGACTCATATAAATTTGGGAAAGAGAGCCATATTTGAAAGCACAAAAAAGTAAAAAGGATAAAAGAAAAAAAAAAAAGCTGAACGATTTTTGAAAAGGGTGCTTAAAATCAGTTTTTTCCTGACACTTTTATCATAAATATCATAACAAAACAGTTAAAATGATTTCGAGGGAAGGGGTGGTGTCTTATAATCCACTGATTGCCCTACAAATATTTGGCTATATAACTTGTTATACTTCATAACTTGCGTATGTTAGAATTCTTGCTGTTAGTTACTTATGGCATATTTATCAATTCAAGCAATTTTCTTTTAAATTTTCAGGAACCTGCGGTTGTGGGAAGGGGTGTACCGGACCTGAAAATTGTAAATGTACTGACAGTAGCTGTGTCTGCAAAAAATGACTTCATGATCAAGTGACAGAATTCCATTGCAAAGAATAAAATATATGCATGATATATATAAATACTTTAATTTGAGTGTTTGTTTGTTTGTATTGCACTGTTTCTTTAAGAATATATGATGTGCCTGCAGCTTAAAGGATCTCTAATTAATTGTAAACATGTAATTATCAATTGAAATGATCCAGTATAATGTATACGTGGAATTAGAAATATTGCTTGTATGTGTGACTGTGAGTGTGTTTAATTGTAAACTTGTACATGATGACGACGAGCGATGCTATAGAAATGTATAACGAAAAAGTTTATTAGCGTTCACTTCTATTGAGAGGTAAGGCGGATCAAAAATCTTGATATAATTTTAAGAAGATGATCCATGTCGAGGCCGCGGATTTAAATGTTGCAAAACCTTAATAAAGGAAGCAAAGAAGAGGTCAAATGACACTAAAGCACATGCAAGGATCCCAACCCCCTCCCTTCCGCTAGTAGAGAGGCAGTAGAAAAGCACAAAGAAAACTAGTAGGTATTTGAGAAAAAAGACCATTAGGAATTCTTATTAAAGCAAATAGCGATAGATAAACACTGCTATGATGTTGGTAATTAGTAGAGTTGATCATGCGTAATAACCTTTTTTTATGAAAATAATAATAATTAATACCCCCCCCCCCAAAAAAAAAAAAAAAAAAAAAAAAAAAAAAAAACCAACAACAATCAAACAAAAATCAAAGTCAATGTGTAACATGTATTGAAAATATGATTTGAAAATTATGCAGGAAGTTTGATATTAAAGCAAGATTTTTTCAGTTAGAAAGATACTGGTAATTTTATCCCCCGTAATCGCAGATTCGGGGGTATGTAGATTTTGTCCTGTCTGTCAATCCGTCTGTCAGTCCGTCTGTCTGTTTGTCCGCCAGAACTTTAACTTTGCCATAACTCTTGGGTGGGAGCTAATCCGCAACTCTCAGAATCTCTGTCACATAATGATATTGTGAATCTCCTCTTATACTCTGATCGCAGACTTATTTCGGGTTTCCCATAGCAAAAACATGGACACTGCAATTCTTTATTTACTACTGAAGAGTACAAATTTCTTACCCATATCTCCTCCTATTCCATTGAATAAAATTTATGATACATTTACAGATTCTTTATAGCAGAATGCAATTTTGCACCTCCTATTTTAGCTTTTTGATCTGACGCTTATTCCGTGTCTCCCAGAACAAAACATGGACTTTGCCATTATAATCATGCGGGAGGTGGGGGCAGGGTATCATTTAGGGAGCTCCGTGCTCTGAGAACCTCTAGTTGTTACTTTTTTATACAATATATACACTAGACTGATCTACGACTTTGTCATTCCATGCATGGTGAACTATATCGATTTTTCGAAAACCTCGCCCAAAACAACATGTTTTAGATTTTAAAAAAAAATGAGGAGATAAACTTAGATCATATATGTACATATGATACCAACATTTAAAAATTATTTCATTAAGTTTTTAATTTAATGACAAGGAGGTTAAAAACTCGAAGGTTTTTATTTTCGTTCTCACGATGTTGCATTTTATTTCGAATAACTATTGCAGTAATCATGTAGCTAGTACTAACATACGTAGATTTATGTTTTGGGTTAACATATTTTAGGATTACTATCTAGTTTATTGGGTATGTATCAACAATAGTTGTAAACGTCAGGGACATAGAAAAAAATGGAAATGGTGGGGGGGGGCAGAGAAAAAAAAGTAACCCTAAAAAAAAAAAAGAAAAGCAAAAAAGGATAACTTGGTAAAACTGGAAAATCCTATTTTGCCCCCCCCCCGCCCCTATCAAACTTCATTCAATATCATTTTTCATTCACTAATACATTATCCTTATTTTCTAAACTACAACAAAAGAATAACCGGCCTAACAATGTACATTTTCTATGTTAAAAAGTTCTGCTAGGAAAAATAAATCCCATGGACACCCCCACCCCACCCCTGCTGCTACCTGCCTAGAATTGGGCTTATTTGTTAACCCTTGTTTTAAAATGTTGTTGATATCTCTGACATACTCAACAAACTAGACAATCATTCTTTATATTCAAAATTATAAATATGAATTTAAAGGATTCAAAATATACGAGACCTTATTTAAACATCAATAGTCCCGCCTAAGATTGGCATGCATATGAGGCATCTTGTCTTTCACCTGCTGAATTAGGAATCAGGAAATCAACTCTCCCAACATTTAAAGAGTTATCACAGAGAAAACAATTAAAAATAAAGGAACATTTATATTACCATTTTTATATCCCCCGCTTGAAAAGTGGGAGGGTATATAGTAATCGGGATTTCCGTCTGTACGTCCGTCCGTCTGTTACGCTTTATCTCTTATCCGCAACTCCTCTTATACTACTGAGTGAAATTTAATGAAACATTCCCAGAACCTTTATTATATATTGCCATTGTGCACCTCCTATTTTACTTTTTTATTGGACACATATTTTAGGTTTTCCATAGCAAAACATGGACTTTACCATTATATGTTTACCTATGACGTCACATATAGAAGCTTCTGGATAACATTTGATAGGACGATTTATTCCTCTTTACACATTACCGTAAAACAATATATAGCAACACATGGACATTATGGGAGGCGGGGGGGAGGGGGTATCATTTAGTGAGCTCAGTGCTCACAGTACCACTAGTAATGTAACAAGGGATATTATTTCTTTCCTAAAAGTAAGACATGGATACCATGTTCACACCGAACAAAATTGAGTTAACACCGTCAGTTGCTCTTTTGTTTTTATTTAATTTGGTTAAATAGAATATCAATAGATACAGGAAAAATATGAACTTTTCAATATCTCATCAACAACGTTTCCTCCGAAATATATGAGACTAAAAGATTTTAAGACTTTTTGCAGCGTCCGTCACAGTTGTTAATATACGCACAAACGTGAAATTTGATGGCCTAAGGCACACCTATATTGTAATTAGGTCTTTCCACCTTTCTGTGGAAAGACCTATTGATATTCTTCTGTTTATTATTAGGTCTTTCCAGCTTTCTCTGGAAAGACCTATTGATATTCTTCTGTTTCTTTTTTTCCTTTTTCTTTATTATTTTTCCGCCGTGTGATTTTTTGTTTCAAGATTTATCGAAAAGATTTTCAGTCGATAAAAATGTACTCCGTAAAAGATTTTTGCAGTTGACCCTGCGTATATGAACTTTGACCCCTTTCGGAGTTACGACCCCTTTCGCAATAAAAGCTTGTTATCGCTACTCCTCCGAAACCATAAACCGCAGAGATTCCAAACCTTTATTAATGTTTACGACTGATTTAGTAGACTCTCCAATCAAACATTGCGAAAGGATTCATAAACTCCTATAATGAATTATTGCCCCTGAATGTTTGCGATGTTTACAAATATCAAGAATTTTTCTAAAACGACAAGGCGTAGAGACATGGGGCCAAATGCAAAAGATTTCTTGACCTTTGACCTTAAAATGTAGGTCAAGGTCAAAGGTCAAGGTCATTCAAAATAGGTAAAATTCAGCATTTTTTATAGCTCTTCTGTTCTTTACCAAATTCTAAACTTCTTTGCATCTTTAGTATGTACTCTTAAAACCATTTCAGAGATTCCATGCTTGTCCCCTAAGATTGAACCCTCAAAAAGTTAGTGCCCCTTTTAGTGTAAACCCTTGTTATCGCTACTCCTCCGAAACCGTAAACCGTAGAGGTACAAAACCTTCAACAATGTCTGCAACTAATTTAGTACACTTCTCATCCTATTAGTGCGAAAGAATTCGTAAACATTTTATGCAGTTATTGCCCCTGGCAGTTTATGATGTTTACAAAGAACTAAAAACTTCTTAACGACAAGTCGTAAAGACATGGGCCCAACTGCATGAGATCTTTTGACCTTTGACCTTGAATATTAGGTCAAGGTCAAAGGTCAAGGTCATTGGGAAAGTATCAAAATTGTTTATTTACGGGCTTTTGGTTAAAATGACCTTGACCTTTGACCTTGATATTAGACCTTGACCATTGACCTTTTCTCAAAAGTTTAAAAAGATATATTCATTATCTTTACCTAGATTCAGCTTCAAGTGTAAAACTCAAGTTTATAAGGCTAAGTGCTTTTTTTTGGGATGACCTTGACCTTTCACTTTAGGCCTAACTTCACTGTATAAGTGCAAAAGAATCTGATGACCCCTTATATGAGTTATTGCCCTTTAACTTCTTTATACTTACTATTAAACCTTGTATCTTGAAAACTATAAATGGTAGAAGCATGGGGTTAATTGCATTGTGACCCTTGACCTTTGACCTTGAATATTTTGTCAAGGTCAAAGGTCAAGGTCAATTCAAACATTAGAAATTAAGCTATTTTTATATTTCTTTTGTCTTTTAACATATGCAAACAGTCTTTGCATCATTAATATGTACTCTTAAAACTATTTCAAAGATTTCATTCTTGTTCCCCAAGATTGACCCTATCAAAAGTTATTGCCCCTTATGCGAAAAACATTTTTATCACTACTTCTTCATAACTGTAGATCGTAGAGGCATGAAATCTTCACAGATGTCTTAAGGGTCTTTAGGCACACCTTCATTGTATAAGTACTAAAGGATTTAATGACCCCTTATATGAGTTATTGCCCTTTAACTTCTTTGCACTTCATATTTAAACTTATAACTATAGAACTAAAAATCATTAAGGCATGGGGTCAATTGCAATGTGACCCTTGACCTTTGACCTTGAAGATCTGATCAAGGTCAAAGGTCAAGGTCATTTCCATTTTTTTTTAATTTTCATTTTCTTTTTTAAGCCATTTTCCTTAAAATTAAATAAGAGAGTAAAATATAAAACTATAAGAAATTTAAAAAGGTGGAAAGACCTCTTATTGTTCTGTGAACAATAAGTCTCCTAGTTTTTCTTTATTTTGCTTACATGAAAAATATTAGTAAAAACGAAAAATATCTACTTTTTCAGTAATATGACTACATCAAGTACATGTTTATATAACTAATTAGTATATATAAAATCAATCTTTCTGATGGTTACATGTAAAATAGAAAAGAAAAATACATACTTTGTCAGTAATATAGCTGCTAACAGTAGATGTTTATACAAGTAATAAGATTAGATATTTGATCAAGATTATAAAATCAAGTCAGGCAATTAGGTAATTTTTTTTTCACGCAGTCCATTGAGCTAGCATCCTATTTTTTTAAGATCTGAGGCCAAAGCTTTCAATTTTGTCATGTTAATGATCTTTTTCGCAAGGTTGTATGCATCATTGACAGAGATGCTGGCAATGAGGGCAATACCGTCTGTTGCAAATGCAGCAACAATCATCGTGGCAACCAGGACGAGATTTTTGATTCGTTCCATCCATGACATTTCCGAAAAAGCGATTTTAACAACTTTCCAGAATATGCCAAAAGAATAGGTGTCTTTCAGTAAAGTGAAAATTGCCTTTGCCTTTCCCCAAGCATTTCCTGATATCCAGCTGTGAACAAATTCATCTATGATTCTTCTGAAAGCGGGCTGCTCCACGATTGGAATGATTTCTTTGATTATTTTGTGTATCAAGGCCTCATCAAAGCTTAGTTTAATTCCAATGACACCTAGAACCAGAAATATGCTTTCAATGTAAATGCTAGCTATTTGGTAAATACTGGCATTTGTAATGCATTCCATGGAGTTAAGTTGTATGGGGTCAAGGAATCTTTTGCCTCCACGCTCAAAGGTTGCTTCAGAGCCCGTAATCGTCATCGTAAATGTTTCTTTATCGACATACTCGCATATTTTCCTATAATCGTCATTCGAGAGAAGCTTTCGGACCTTTTCTCGCAATTCTGCATCCGGAAGTTTTGAGGGCAAGGGAGTTGGTCAGGGTAGCTTCCTTTACAGCGCAGCATTTCATAAGTTCTTCTACTTCCCTGCGCTCCTCATGAGAACATTCTTGTATGGTAGGTTCCACTAGAATTGGGCTTATTTGTTAACCCTTGTTTTAAAATGTTGTTGATATCTCTGACATACTCAACAAACTAGACAATCATTCTTTATATTCAAAATTATAAATATGAATTTAAAGGATTCAAAATATACGAGACCTTATTTAAACATCAATAGTCCCGCCTAAGATTGGCATGCATATGAGGCATCTTGTCTTTCACCTGCTGAATTAGGAATCAGGAAATCAACTCTCCCAACATTTAAAGAGTTATCACAGAGAAAACAATTAAAAATAAAGGAACATTTATATTACCATTTTTATATCCCCCGCTTGAAAAGTGGGAGGGTATATAGTAATCGGGATTTCCGTCTGTACGTCCGTCCGTCTGTTACGCTTTATCTCTTATCCGCAACTCCTCTTATACTACTGAGTGAAATTTAATGAAACATTCCCAGAACCTTTATTATATATTGCCATTGTGCACCTCCTATTTTACTTTTTTATTGGACACATATTTTAGGTTTTCCATAGCAAAACATGGACTTTACCATTATATGTTTACCTATGACGTCACATATAGAAGCTTCTGGATAACATTTGATAGGACGATTTATTCCTCTTTACACATTACCGTAAAACAATATAAAGCAACACATCGACATTATGGGAGGCGGGGGGTATCATTTAGTGAGCTCAGTGCTCACAGTACCACTAGTAATGTAACAAGGGATATTATTTCTTTCCTAAAAGTAAGACATGGATACCATGTTCACACCGAACAAAATTGAGTTAACACCGTCAGTTGCTCTTTTGTTTTTATTTAATTTGGTTAAATAGAATATCAATAGATACAGGAAAAATATGAACTTTTCAATATCTCATCAACAACGTTTCCTCCGAAATATATGAGACTAAAAGATTTTAAGACTTTTTGCAGCGTCCGTCACAGTTGTTAATATACGCACAAACGTGAAATTTGATGGCCTAAGGCACACCTATATTGTAATTTTTCTTTATTTTGCTTACATGAAAAATATTAGTAAAAACGAAAAATATCTACTTTTTCAGTAATATGACTACATCAAGTACATGTTTATATAACTAATTAGTATATATAAAATCAATCTTTCTGATGGTTACATGTAAAATAGAAAAGAAAAATACATACTTTGTCAGTAATATAGCTGCTAACAGTAGATGTTTATACAAGTAATAAGATTAGATATTTGATCAAGATTATAAAATCAAGTCAGGCAATTAGGTAATTTTTTTTTCACGCAGTCCATTGAGCTAGCATCCTATTTTTTTAAGATCTGAGGCCAAAGCTTTCAATTTTGTCATGTTAATGATCTTTTTCGCAAGGTTGTATGCATCATTGACAGAGATGCTGGCAATGAGGGCAATACCGTCTGTTGCAAATGCAGCAACAATCATCGTGGCAACCAGGACGAGATTTTTGATTCGTTCCATCCATGACATTTCCGAAAAAGCGATTTTAACAACTTTCCAGAATATGCCAAAAGAATAGGTGTCTTTCAGTAAAGTGAAAATTGCCTTTGCCTTTCCCCAAGCATTTCCTGATATCCAGCTGTGAACAAATTCATCTATGATTCTTCTGAAAGCGGGCTGCTCCACGATTGGAATGATTTCTTTGATTATTTTGTGTATCAAGGCCTCATCAAAGCTTAGTTTAATTCCAATGACACCTAGAACCAGAAATATGCTTTCAATGTAAATGCTAGCTATTTGGTAAATACTGGCATTTGTAATGCATTCCATGGAGTTAAGTTGTATGGGGTCAAGGAATCTTTTGCCTCCACGCTCAAAGGTTGCTTCAGAGCCCGTAATCGTCATCGTAAATGTTTCTTTATCGACATACTCGCATATTTTCCTATAATCGTCATTCGAGAGAAGCTTTCGGACCTTTTCTCGCAATTCTGCATCCGGAAGTTTTGAGGGCAAGGGAGTTGGTCAGGGTAGCTTCCTTTACAGCGCAGCATTTCATAAGTTCTTCTACTTCCCTGCGCTCCTCATGAGAACATTCTTGTATGGTAGGTTCCACGATTTCCAGTGCCATCTTCATCACGCCATTGACAATAGCTACAAAGACAATACATATTCCCATGTCTTCATATATTACAAAATATTCACAGTTAGCTTTTGAAATTAAATGATTTTTACTAACACACTGATCCCCCCCCCCCTAAAAATTGTGAAATTCATTAAATTATACTGAGTTTTATTATAACGCATATCAGTATTTAAGTTAAAATGTTTATAATGAAATTACAGATATCTTAATATTTAAGAATATAAAGTAAGGTCAGTAACGATGACATTCACTGTACTCATCAGTCGCCTCATCTCGGGTCTGTCTGTCAGAGGTTGGAAAAACAACCTCGAATGTATTAACATCACCGGATGTTAAAAATTTATACATTTCCTGTTTATTCAAATATAGGATAGACGGAGTTAGAAGTCCCTACTATAGTAGTAATATCATTACATTGAATAAAGTCCATATTCCACAGATAAAAGGTCTCCATGCATTTATTTCAAAGATCGCGAAAAGGGAGGGTTGTCATGGCGTCTACCATATACATTCGAGGTCGTTTTCCCGCTAGTCGGAAAGGCCCGAGAAGTTGCGATTGCTGTACTCATATGACAAAAAATTCCACTGATAAAATGGAAATTCACTTATTTCTTTATCAATTGCTTATGGTTTTTGTATATATATTTGATTTTTTTAATGACATTTACTTATTTGAAATAATTCATGAGCTTTAACTCACAGAATATTTACAAAAAGATCTTTAAAGGAACATTTACTTTGTAATTGATATTGCAGGAAATAACACTTTGACAAAAACGAAAGATTCAGAAGAATTTAGTCAGAATTTCCTCTGCATCATCATATTTCTGATATTGAGTTATAACTTGTTTATTTTATCCATTTAAAACAATTTTTGAAGAAACATACTGTACTTTATAAAATTCGTTTTAATTTTTGAAAACCTGAGTAAACGTCATCTTAATTATAATAAGTATAAAAAAAATCATATATACATTTGATTGGGGCAGCCAATGTCATCTTCCTAATGGTTGATTCCTGAAAAAGAAGTATTTTAGATTAAAAAAGCCAAAATAATAAAAGAAATTATTATTTTCTACGGAGGTTATTGATGTAAATAAATATGCAAGACCATAAAGTGCTATGTAATCTCTTTATCGAAGCATTTATTTACTCGTTAGAGGGTAATTTCTATTCTTTATAAGTCAAAAATGTATTTGTCTTAATTCTAAATTAAAAAAAACAAATTATTTTTAAAACATTTATCTGTGCCGATGTAATTTAAAAAAGTTACCTTTTTCAAAATTCTAGGTTAGAAGACTGTTAGTTTTCCTTAAAATTGTGAAATATCGAGGTACATGTAAGTAACAGCCATTAAGCTAAAAAAAATCCATTTAAACAATTCAAATCGGTTGTAGCAATCACAGCAAACACAGACCTCCATAAATATGGGCTCAGGTGCCTCTGAAGAGTATGCATTCCGTGCCGACTGGTCCCACTCGGTCAGAGATACTCAAGCTGTAGAAAATCAACTAAGACGGGATATTATATCCTAAAATGGCATAGGATGAGGGCTACTGAGTTTAATTAATCTTCTGTTTAAGATACATGTACTGTGCTAGGAAAGAAATCCATATACTAGCATTGGATTTAAAATAAATATAATTTATCGTACTAATCTTTTAAATGAATATAATTTACTCACTTTCAGTTATATTTAATGGAGCATAATGGCCGTTTATTTATTGAAATATTTTTTTGAAGTTGACATTTATTAATATACTTCAAACTATATATATACTTTTTTGTATTTTTTTGCTTAATATACAGCAATCCAAATAGATCCTAGGTGGAAGGGGAGGGGGTGTATTTGAGCAGACTTAAATCTTCTAAGAATGCTTTTGAATTAATAAGACATATAATGGCTTTGCTGTTTATAAGATGATATGTCTTTTATTTTCCTTTGTTATGATCCAATTTATCCTATTCTCCTAATTGGTCATGATTTGGTCAAATTTAAATCAACATTACCTTTTTCGATGCTTTATATTGATGATCAATCATGGTATTGTTGTTCTTGTGGAGAATTTTAACAATTTTCCCCATGTATTTCCTATTCATATATTAAACTTTGATACCCAATTATCGCCTCACCTTATTCCTGTCATGATATGAACAAACTTGAATCTTCTCTACATGAGGATATGCTTAAACACGAGTTTCATCTTTCCTGTCCAGTGGTTCTTGAGAAAAAGAATTTTCCTCTGTATATGTACTTTTAACTTTGATACCCTATTGTGGTCCAAAGCTTCTCCCGGGGGTTATGATATGAACTAAACTGACTCTACACTACATGCGGATGCTTCGACATGAGTTTCATCTTTCCTGGCCCAGTGGTTCTTGAAAAGAAGATTTTTAAAAGATTTTTCCAGTGCATTCCTTTGTTAAACTTAAATAACCCATTGTGGTCCCACCCTTCCCCCGGGGTCATGATATGAACAAACCTGAATCTACACTTCCAGAAGATGCTTCCACGTGAGTTTCATCTTTCCTGGCCATGTCGTTCTTGAAAAGAAGACTTTTCCTATGTATTCCTATGTAAAACTTCAAACTTCGATACCCCATTGTGGCCCCACCCTTCGCCGGGGGTCATGATTTGAACAATCTTGAATCAAAATTACCAGAGGATGCTTCCACGGAGTTTCATCTTTCCTGGCCAGGATTCTTGAGAAGAATATTTTTTTATTATGCCATTTATTTTTCACTAAATCATAATTATCTCCCCTTTGAAGAGGGCCTGGCCCTTCATTTGAACAAATTTATATTCCCTTCACCAAAGGATACTTTTTTCAAGTTTAGGTGAAATTAGCACAGTGATTCTTGAGAAGAAGATGAAAATGTGAAAAGTTTACAACGACAACGACATTAACGACGACAGACAACGGACAGATTTTGATCAGAAAAGCTCACTTGAGCCATCGGCACAGGTAAGCTAAAATACTTCAATTTTAGGCCATATCAAAGGAATTTACATGATATGGGAAAATGACGCATTTTATGACGTCATATTTGATTGACTAGAGGGAAAATTACGTCATGTTCAATAGATATGAAGTCAATGAGAGTCCAAGTTATAAATCCTGCATTTTTATCCTAAACTAAAATCTACGAAATTTTATTGTGGCAAAAATTGGGAACAATTGTTTATCCAGAGACACAAATGATAAAAGCTATTGGTGTCTCTGGCAAAACAAAATGCAAACATTACTTTATTAAATATTCAAAATCACGTTCAAAGTTCATAGTTGAAAGGTCAAAATTCACAAATCACTACTAGTATTTCACTAGGTAAAAGCCTTGACCCTCTGAAAAGCAGAGGTCAAACACTTATTTATATGTATCCAAATCCAAAATTTACTTTGAAACTTTCAAGAGTTACATCACTGCATATGAGGATATTTACTTAGTGCCACTCGTTTACAAGCATCTCTTACAGCTGGAAAAGAAACGGACAGACGTACCAGAATCTATAAATTCACATTACTGATTATGGATAAGGTACTGCAGAAATGGTGATGAATCACTTCCACATCTTTATGCCCGCAATATAGGACAAAGTCCAAACATTTATGAGTCGGAATAGTTACTTCTGCTCGATTCAAATAGCTGCTCACTACGACTATAGTTTCATCCGGGAAGTCCTACGTGTTGAAGTATTGATTAGGTTTGGACATGGCATGTTGATATTGATCTCTGCTACAAGATTTTGTCTGAAAATATTAAAAAAAAAACAGGAAAAGCAGTATGTATTCTTAATGGGTGTGGTTGGTGGGTGTTTTAAATTAATAATACAACAATAACAAGAGGAAAATGTTTTACCGACCCAAGTTGATGTTGGAAGATTGAAAAAGAAAATTGCAACCAAAAGGCCATCAAGTGTTTACCAACTTCAATATCTGACAAGATCGATAATCGCTACGAGTGAGTACTTACATTAAGTAAGTCATTTATGCACTTCTTTCGATAACAGCAGCTATTTCAGAGTGGAATAATAATTCGATGCAAAACTTGAATTTCCTATTGTGACCCCACCCTACCAACGGGGTCATGATTTGAACAATTAAGAAGCTACACTTCGCCAGGATGGTTCCACATAAGTCCCAGCTTTTCTGGTCTAGTGATTCTTGAGAAGATTTTTCATATATATATTTCATTGTAAAAGTTGATTCCCTATTGTGGCCTCACCCTATCCCCAGGGGTCATGATTTCAACAATTTAGGATCTACACTACCCCAAGATGCTTCCATATAATTTTCAGCTTTTCTACCCCAGGGTTCATAAGAAGATAAAAAAAAATCCTATTAATATATTTCAATGTAAAGCATAAATTCCCTATTGTGGTGGCCCAATTATACCCCAGGTGGTCATGATTTGAACAATTTAGAAACTACACTACCCCTGGATGCTACAACATAAGAGTCAGCTTCTCTGGCCCAGTGATTCTTGGGAATGGAAGGTTTTTAAATATTTTTCCTTTTAAAACTTGGATTCCCTATTGTGGCTCTGCCCTAACCATGGGGCTCACGATTTGATTAATTTAGAATCTACGCTATCCTAGAATCCTTCACAAAAGTTTCAGCTTTTCTGGCCAAGTGATTCTTAAGAAGATTTTTTCTATATATTTTAATGTAAGCTTATAAAATTAATATAAGAATCAAAGACAAATCTGAAGAGGGAGTGGCCAGTATCGGGAGGGGGGCCTGAAAGATCTATGATTGTTATATTGTTGTTTAAATATACATGTACATAATACACTATTTGAGGATCCCTACATTAGACCTTACTATAGTACGTTTTTGTTGAGAAATTTTTGATTCCAATAACAAACTAGGATAATTTCTTGTAATTAAGGTTGGCATAGACTTAGAAATATCTCTCTCTCTCTCTCTCTCTCTCTCTCTCTCTCTCTCTCTCTCTCTCTCTCTCTCTCTCTCTCTCTGAAAGATCTTGCCTTTATTTTATAACTTCATTATATCTCTGAAAATACATAAGATCGATCCACAAGAAATGAAAATAATACATGGAATACCAATCACTTAGCGGTCATTTTTTGCTTAAATTGCATTTCAGCAAAATGTTTACATAATAAATTAAAATCAAGCTTGCTACATAATTTCCGTTGTGTAAGTATATATTGACAAAAAGGATATGAATCGGTAAAAATAAGGGTAAACAAGTTTTGTATTTTTTCCTTTAGCAAAGTTTTCTGAGGGTACGATGTCAGAAGAAAATTATGAGAACTATTCTAGATGCAAAACACTTTATAAATGCACTTAATTTTTGTACCTTGAGTAATATGTACGAAATAAGTCATACTATAGCGGTGCATGTTATCTCACCCAAACGTTGCAGTTAAAGTAGTTGGAATTGTTTTCGAAGAGAGGTAGAGGTGGTTAAGGTGGAAGACACTACATAATATCTAGAATAATTCAATTATTTCTTTATTAACATGCATTGATTTAATTTTTTTAAAATTTGTTATTCATTTATTTATTTTTTTTTTTGCCAAGCACACGCACCTTTTTAGAAGCCCCAGATTTTATTTGTAGAATATAGAAAGATATAAATCTTAATATCAGATCTCTTATCCTTTATCAATATGGTGTGCAATATTCCAAATGTCACTGTGTCACAAGAAGTATCATCATTTAGAAAGTCAAAACATCTTAAGATCAAGAAATCAATGCATAAAATACAGCTAGGGTATTATTTGAAAACTCTATAGCTGAATACTGACCAAAACATTGTAGGCTTTAAACTTTGTGCAAAAAAAGATAATGTGCATCATCCGATCATGGGCAAAATAGGTTAGTTGTGTTGGAAAAAATACCAAATATTTTCGAAAGAAAGACAAACAAAAAAATTCATCCATGAAATTTTAAACGATGAAGATGTGCTTAGCGATGACGAAGATATACGGGTGTTATGTCTGATTTTTATGAAAATTTTAATTCTTCAAAATTAGTGCCGCACGATGAAATTGATCTATATCACCCCTACTAATCTTATTGTGATTTAAAATTTATAAATTATATTTATAAATATAATGTGCACTAAACAGGACATTTCTAAAGTCTATTTTTTTTAATAAGTAGAAATGTGTTTCCAGACCTGTCTGAATGATCTTCGTAATTTTAAACAATAAATGGGGGACACAAATAGCAATCTACTTTACCTTTACCTTTAGGATAATTTACCTTTAGGATAAGTTACTGTGAAAACTGAAACTCATTAGCGACCATTAATTTTAAAATTGCCTGATACGCGGTTAGAATAGACCTTTG